AAAAATGGCTATTACTTTTTTTATTCTATTTTTAAACATGGTTTCCTGATAAGAGATCTTGTTTTATTAATAAAATACGATTGCCAGCATTTTTACTTGGAAAGTTCAAGGATCATGTACTATCGTCTCAAATCAGGAAACAGCAAAATGGAAAGAAGACAAAATGAAGGGAAATAAGAACAACATTCTTCAAACCCTGGGGAACATGAGGTGAAACCAAAATAAAACCACCTTTATTGTAGATGACAAGCTGCCAATGTTGTACAAGTCTTAAGAAACCTGTGATGGGGAAGGAGGGCGGGGGGGTGAGGACACAAGGCAAGATGACAAGGAGTGCCCGCGCCAATGTCTTAACTGTGGGAGCTCCTGTTACTTCCTCTTCCTCTCATCAGTGTACCTTTAGATCCTGGCCCGTCCAAACATAAAGACACCAATTCCTCAGAGAGCCCCTTCTTTGCCATATCTGCAATACCTTTTCCCCCCCATATCTGCAATACTTTTATTTATTTGAACTTTCTATCTAAAAGGTGCAGCATGTAACATGATTGTCTTATTACTTGAATATACTGAGGCTGTAGCACCCTGGTGGTAGAGTACCTCTTTGGTGTGAAAGCCACAGCATTCCAAGAGAGTTTTCCCATCGCATAGGTCTGTTTTTTCTTATAATTTAACACCAGAGCCTTCTAGCAGTGGTTCTGGGAATGGAAGAAAAGCCAGTTCTCTCTACTTTGTTCATACCACTGACAGTCAAATAACATCACGTAATTATTAGGGACTTTTGAGGTTGTTTAACACTTATTCATGCACACACACACACACACACACACACACACACCATTTCTCTTTCTTTCCCACTGAATATTTGCTGAGCCATTTTGCTCTGCAGTAAGACCCAATACCGTATGTATAATTGCAATGGTTTATAAGATGCAGCATTGGCCCCTGCAGGAAGCTCGATCATACCTTTCTCCAAGTGTTCATGCCTCCACAGACAAGCAAAGGCAGCTACCAAAAAGCAGGGCACGGGACTCCACACTAAACCTGCTAACACCCAGCATGGGCGGGCGAAGCCATGGATTCTTCTCGTCAAACTTTTTTTAATAGAGAGGTACTTTACACATCAGTTGGGGCTACCTTTTTTCAAATAAAATGCCTTCGATTAAAACTCTAATCCACACGGTTTCGTCTTCCCCAGATGAGTCAGAGGAAGGTCGGGCCCCACACCGCCTCTGAATCATCTGGGCGCATCGGCTCTCTGTAGTGGAGAGCACCAGAACCTGGTTAATGCCGCGTCTGCTGACGTTTCTCAGGAGGAACGAATGGATTGTTGTGCTTTTATTACAATCCAGTGGGTGGTTAGGTATGATGTTTACCAGTCAGCAGCCTTTCAAATACATTTCATCTGGTGTGTGGGAGGTTAGAAATGTTAACATTTTGTCTTGAGCAGGAGCATAAACTAGATGTTGAGCTAGCCTTTGGATGTCTTTTTTAATAAATTCTGCTTAGGATGAAATTAGCACTCACATACATTGCTGGTGTTGCATGCCTTTCTGGAGGGCAAGTTGTCAGTGTGTATCAAAAGCCTTTAAAGTGAGCATACTTTTAAACACAGACATGCTAACTTCAGAGAATTCTTCCTGGGTGAGTAATTGAACAAGTGCTAAAAGTATAGCTATAATGATGTCCTTTCCAGCATTGTTTATAAGAACATAAATTTGGAAAAATCTTAACTACCAGGGAAAAATGGGTTAAATAGATTATAATACATTTATATAATTACTGTATACATCTGTACATAGAATACTGTGTTGCTGTGAAAATTATATTTTATTAGTATGTTAAAAATAACCATAAATGAGGTAAATTTAAAACTGTTTATAAAGTGTGTGTATATATATATATATATATATATATATGAAACATAATTCTACTTTGTTAAAAAATCTGTGATACATGGGAAAATGTCTGGTAGGATGCATCAAGTATTAATCATTTTTATGTCTGAGTTGTGTGATTAAGGAACACATTTTCACTTTCTCTTTTATATATTTTGTATTGTCTGATTTAAGAAAATAAGTGTATGTTACTTTTAGAATCAGAAGAAATGAACAATTAAGTTCTTTTCCATTTTGAAGGAAAAAATATAAACCTGTGTAGTTATGTGAAAGGCAGGTTGCTGTGGGACAGACCTAAAAGCAAGAAACTACCTGTCTTTGCAGCCAAGGCCTAATGCAGGGAGCCTCACATTTAAAGAATTTCCACGCATGTCAAGTCGTTTGGTGTGGACACAACTTTACTTACAAAGTCAACTGATATGTTATCGAGCCAGCAACTGGGCATGTTATGATTCAAAATACCATGCAGTCCTTTTGCCTCTTTTTTGTTCTTTGAAAACAATTTTAATTTGCATATTCATCAGTAGTAATAAAAGATCCTTAAAAATCTAGTTCCGGTAACTGTGTATCCTAGGCAAGGGGCTACCCATGGAGAGTGATTGACTGTAAATTTCAGGCTCTACCAAGTGAAAAGAGTTAAAGGAGACTGGGTATAATCTGGTTGTTCAGGCCACTCCTCCAATGAGATCTCTAAGATGAAGACAGGTCGAGTGTGATTTAGCCTCAGTGGCAAATCAAGTTTGTGTCAGAACTAAAAGCCAACAGCATCCAGCTGCGAAGCATATGGGTAGGTGGGAGGAAGACACTAACATCTCTCATTGTTCAAGCATAGTGGGAAATTAAGGGCTAAAAATGAAATTCCATTCAGGAAAGGGGGTAGTTCTGTTTGTAGCATAGGATGTCCCATATGGAGCTTTTATGTCTCTTGCTTATCTTGGAAAAGGAAGGTCCCAGTAATAGCCAAGACCTCGTGGCTGATCCAGAGATGTAGAAGAACAAATTAAGACTTTGTGTTTGATTGGCTTGGGAAGCAGTCATTAAGGACCCTGCTGTGGTTAAAGCTGTCTACTGAGAAATAAGCCAAAGGAATATTAGGCCAAGAATCTGAAGATTGAAGCCAAACCACTGGGAAGGTCTTTTGACTGCAAACTACAACGTGATTGAATTAGAAGGGAACATTCAAATTGTGTCATGTTGTCACCTCAAGTTCAACGAGTCTAAAATTGAACTCATCTTTCCTCATAAAGCAGCTCCTCAACTGCACTTTCCTGAGAGCAATAACATACTCTGCTGGAGAATGCCTTACCACAACACCCATGATTTCATTAGACTCGCACACACTTTCAGACAAGGCAATTTAACTCCGGTTAATCAAGGGCGACCAGCGAGTGAGAAGCCAGTTCTAGAAACCAGGTTTTCTGAGTACTAACCTAGTTATCTTTCAACTATATCACACTGCTCTTGTCACCACATTTACAGAAATAAACCAGCTGATGACATTTTATTTATATTGGAATTTGAGTATTACACACTAGCAGATTTTAGTAAGTATAAAGTCAGATTTTTCTGAAGTAGCAAAGAACCAACCAACCAACCTTAGGTTTTGTTCATTTTGTGTTTCATAAGCTATCTAGGTGAAAAAAAAATTCATAGTGTTTGCATTACTGAAGTCAAATCGCTTCGTATCTATGCCTAAACATGCCTGGTTTGTAAAACTGACCACAGCAAACCACTCCCAGTTATTAGGTTCATGTTGTTGGTATAAATTGTATGGTTCCACATACAGTTTATATTTTTGTTTTCTTTCATTTGTACATTTTAGCTTTGTTGTTATATAAGAAGTACAAGCATGAAACTTTTGCATATCAGGATATCTATTTGTAGATATGTAACAATCTATAATAATAAAAGCGTAATATGCTAATTAGACCAGACGTCCTTCCAGATGTCCTTCCGGACAAAGCCGAGGCGGGTGGGGGCCAAGGTCCTTGCACAAATTTCATGCATCAGGTCCCTAGTATTGTAATAAAAGCACTTTAACTAATGTAAAAAGCAGCCTTCTGCACAGCGCATCTCCATCCCAACCCATGGGTCCATCAGGCCAGCGTGTCCCTGGGCCAGCACGTCCATCCTTCTCTGCACTGTGTATCTCCATACACATTAATCTCTCAAATGTACCCAAGTCAACCATTCAGGTCATTTCCTCCTGAGTCTGGGCATCTGTCGTTCCCAGTTCCGGTTCTTTGTTGGGGAATAAGGAAAACACATCTAACAAGAATGATATTGATTGTATCATTTCCCTAAGTAGGCATTTGCTTCAGCTGAAACTATGAAAGCTAAATAAAATAGATGCATGTGTAGCCCTCTGTGCCTCTTCTACCTGCCCTATCCCTTAAGTGTCTATGTAAATGCACACGTGTGGGCTACCATCATGTGCCCAGCATGTGTTTTTAGAACAAAAGAGGAGCCTTAGGGGGAACTGCACTGACTTGGAAGCCTCCTTTCAGTTGTCACCTCTCTCCTATGAAAAGGAACTAAAAGGAAAATATAAAACCCAAGCAAAGAGGCTTTTCTGCTCTCGATTTTAATTAGGGGTTTGGGCTTTTTAATGTCAAAGTCCTGGTTTGGTTACTCAACTTGATTCTTTTCTGACCTTGTGACAATGTCTATACAGATAATGAGTACAACATGCTTTGAATCTTTTTAATAAGTGTTTTGATTATTTTCAAATTATTTTCAAATGTGTTTTGATGCTTTGGGTTTCTGTCTCCAGTTTACAAGCCGGTCCTGGGCTTAGTAAAGACTACATATGCTAATGTAGTCTCTGAAGGCAACTTGCTTTTGTGTAGGTTTTTAAATTTAAGCTGTTTATTTGATCATTGCAAATTATCTTCTGTAGATATTGGGTTAGTGCTTTTCAGATCCGTAAAAGTTTGAAAACTAGAGATTGGGTCTCTAAACGTAAGGAACGGAACCTTCCTTTTAGAACTCTGTGGTTCAATAGGAGTCCAGTTTAGAAAACGACTCGGGGCGGATCCTGCCAAGAAGATGGTAAGGATGGTTGGCAGTTGGCATGCTCAACAGGTTGTTTCTGTGATGTTGCAGAATCGCCTACCAGAGGAATGATGATGATGAGGAAGAGGCTGCCCGGGAACGGCGCCGGCGAGCCCGACAGGAAAGGCTGCGGCAGAAGCAAGAGGAAGAATCCTTGGGGCAGGTGACCGACCAGGTGGAGGTTCACGCCCAGAACAGGTACTGTCCTCTTCAGAATGGAAAATGTCTAAGTTGCTTCTTAGCCTGTCTGATGAATGGAATGTGTTGGGCAAAGCATTCCCTTCTCGGCCCAACTCAACTCTTTTCAGTCTAATTTGTTTAATTATTTCATGGCCATTTTAGGCAATGAATCAGATTGAACAGTAAACTGATTTCAGCTATAGTACACCACTATTCCTTTCTCTCCCCCCGGCCCAAACATACCCCAATGGAATGATTTTATTTTATAATCTAATCATTTTTATTTACTCAATATGGTGGGTTATAGCTTTAAATAAGGGGAACTATTTACATTCATTCTTTAAGCTATTGCTATCTGTTTTGAGCTAAAGATTTATTAACTCAGTAGTTTTCTGTGCCTATCAACAGCAAATAATACTTTAATTTTAAAAATAGGCATGAATTGCAAATGTCTTGGTTTTCCTGATATACAGCCTGAATCAATATTCTGTGATCACTACAATATTCAGCAAGGTGCAAAAATCCTGTTTAATTTAATGTAATTATTCCAACAAGCTTATGAGTTTACTTCTACATTTTTTCTATACATGCCCTGGTAGAAATGAAGAAAGTTGAGAGCACCTAAGAGATTCAACCTCTTCTAAAAGGGCTTTTTCAAGTTCACACATACAAGGTCACACAGACCATTATGCCAATGATTAGTGTATGCCATTTATATGCCATAAGGTGTAGAAAAGATGAGGAGGGGAAAAGGGAGGGGAAAACGTTAATATTAATGTATAATTATGGACTGATTAAATATAATGAAACCACCATATAAGATCTTGTATGTGGTTTTGGTTTTAGTTTGTTTTATTTTGTGTGTTTAAAGGCACTGTTGACAGTTTCTTTAATTCAGTCTATCTAGAAAATTCTGAATGGGAAGAGTTCTGGCCTCTTTAGCCCAAATTTGAGTGGGCTCACAGGAGGTTTCTGAAGGCAGTCTTGAATATGCTGGTAGGCAGAATGAATTCAGTAAGAAAACTTAATGATTAGGTAGAGAAATAGAGACCATGTCTCTTGAGAAGTAGATCCTAAATAGGAGAGAATATAGCAAAGGGGTTGTAGGTATATTCTCTGAGGTTCACTACTTGGCTTTGAATCTGAACTTGACCTTTCACTAAATGTATTTCTTCAGTTAAATGAATGGAAATGAACATGATACCTTTCTCTTAAGAACATTGCTGAATTTAAATGAGATAATAGAACATGTAAAATGAACAGTGCTTTGCACAGAGTAAGCACCTGGTTTTAATTATTATTAGGAAGATGGTATCAGAGTCTTAACAGAAGAGGGCTGCATAGTCATTCACTGCCTTTCTGACTTTTGAGCTGAGGATGGAAGGGGGAAAAGAGCTTTAAAATAGCTCTTGCCTGAATCTGGTTATCAGTGAATGATCAACAATGGCTGAAAAAGTTACTCGTGGTCTATAGTTTTTCTTGCTTTTCAAATCTTGCTTCTACTTGAGTTTCTCTCCTTTTTCACATTTTATTAATAACAGTTATTTCATGCTATTGGTTGAACACAAAAAAATTCTTTTCTTTTTTCAGTAAAGCATGTGTGATTTACCTCTAAAATATAAACAACCCTAACTGGTACTTAACTACTGGTGATTGCTGTCATGATTTATAAACAGACGAAGAAAGGATCAGCAGAATCTGTTGGTTTCTTAACTCCAGAGTACTTTCATCTGGCTAGCACTTTACAATTTGGGGTACCTTTTAAAAATTATTTAAATTCAGTTGATCCAAATGCCTATGTATATAGACTTTTCCCCTTAAATTCTAAACCATTTGTATTTCCAGGGACATGTAATCCTTACATATCCAATTCATGGAGACAGTGTCCTGTAGCAACAAGCTAAGGCCAAGAAAGTTTAAAATCTAGCCTTTGCTCTGCCATTTCTTGTTGTTAAATGTGAAACATGTTTTTCCAAAATTAAGTGAACTTGAACTTCAAAGGGGCCAAGTTCAGTATGAACCATGACATTTGATGGAGTTCCTAAACATTGCAAGACATATTCTTCCAACTCTGGCCACAGTTCCTGGTGTCACATGGCTGGCTGTTTCCTGCCAGCAGAGACCAACACCCCTGGCTCAGGCAGTGTCCAGCGTCCTGCAATAGGGAGTGAGGTGATGGACATGGCACAATGTGATTTTTAGAGATTTTCTTTTCTTTTTAAATAAACATCACATTTCACTGTTCTTTGTCTACTGTGGAAAGAAGAGCAAAAGATCCCAGATTCATGAAAATCTTAACAAAGGACATAGATGGTGTGTATATAAGTGAGGGGAATGTCAGCTGCTAAAACAATGAGCCCCCACATTTTAGTTGTTTAATTCAATAATATATACCAGTACGGTGTGGTTGCTTCTGACGAGTAGGTAGAACTGGTCACCTACTTTCTTTTCCCTTGTGACTCTATCAATTCCTGGGGCTTTGGAGTCCTCTGATCTAGCCGGCAGAGAGAAAGAGAGGGTAGAGAATGTACCCTTGCTTCCTAATTATCTTGGTCTGGACACATCACTTTTGCTCACATTCAGCTGGAAATTATTGGTCACATGGCTCTACCTAGGTGCGAGGAAGAAGGGAGGGTAGAGAATATAATATTTGACCGACAACCTCTTCCTGTGACTATGGAAGGAAGAGCATGAATTGTGGTGGACAGTTACATGCCTCTACCACGGGGGTCTTCGGGGTGAGTATAACATGTCCACGCCATCATGTACAGTACACTCCCTCCCTCTCCAAGTACTTTGTGTTCCACAAATCCAGTTCAAGGACTCTAGATGACTTGGTGACATGTGAAAATCCTGTATGATACTAGAGGAATCCACTTAGTATTTCAGTTTGGTCCTTGTCTCAGTTTGAGTTCCCCACGCCGCAGATCCTGAAACAAGGATTTGACCACAAGTCGTTTACTTGTAACATGACCCCAGAAAACACTGGGAGCGGTGTGGGGAAGTGACACAGGGAAGGAACGGCAACCAAAGAAAGCTTTCATTGCCAAGCAAGGGACCGCTGTGGGCACCTGGAGCTTCTCTCCCCGGGGAGCTCTAAGATCCAGGCAGCACAGGCACTCAGAACGATCCAACCCAAAAGGTGTGGGGAGCAGAGGTCTGTATACACCAGTGCTCATCAATGTTTGTTTGACGTCTGCTCCCAGGAAACGTTAATATCCAAAGCACGTCTGGCATGTAGAATAGACTGCAGTGGCCAGAGAAAGACGGTGGGCACAGACTTGCACATGCTATCAGTTGGGGAAGGGGGGAGGGGAGGGGAGGGGGGAGGGGAGGGGAGGGGAGGGGAGGGGGCATATGGGCATGGCACTGCCAGCCTCTGCCATAGGGCCAGTGTGGGTCGGGGATCCGCTGACGGATTAACCAGCAGCACGCTGTCTCGTGTTGTTTCTGCCGCGCAGTGTGCCGGACGAGGTCAAGGCCGCCACCACCGCCAACACGCAGGTGGAGGGCGATGACGAGGCCGCGTTACTGGAGCGCCTGGCTCGGCGGGAGGAGAGGCGCCAGAAACGCCTGCAGGAGGCGCTGGAGCGGCAGAAGGAGCTGGACCCCACGATCACCGACGCCAGCTTGTCTCTGTCCGGCGGAAGAATGCGGAACGACACGACAGAAGATGACTCGGCCGAGAAGGAAGAAAAAAGCGAAAGTCGCCGAGAAAGATACGAGATGGAGGAAACAGACATAGTCACCAAGTCCTACCAGAAGAACGACTGGAGGGAGGCAGACGAGAAAAAGAAAGAAGACCAAGAAAAGGAGGAAGAGGAGAGGCCAAAGCGAGGGAGCATCAAAGAAAATCAGGTAGAGGTGACGGTGGAAGAGAGAACCGTAGAAACTCGAGAAGAAGCAGTGGGGATGCCTTTGAAAAATGGGCAGCTCGGTGCAGATGAGCCTAAAATAGAGGCTGAGAGGGAACAAGGCTCGGATGAGATTGCCCTTCAGGAAAAGATGGAGGAGGAGGAACGGGAAAGGGCCCAGGCAGAGAGGGTCAGGTTGGAAGCAGAAGAAAGAGAAAGAATGAAAACTGAGCAAGCGCAAAAGATAGCGGAGGAGAAAGCAAGAAGGGAAGCGGAAGAACGGGCCGCTGCACAAGAGAGAGAGAGGAGGGAGGCAGAGGAGAGGGAGCGGGCTGAGGAGGAGGAGAGAAGGGCAGCGGCCGAGAGGCAGAGAGCGGAGGCAGAGGAAGCCGAGAAGGCTAAGGTAGAAGAGCCAAACCGTGCAGATCAGCCGGGAGAGAAAAAGATCAAAGGGGAAAAGGTAGAAGAGAAAATAGACGGGAAATGGGTCAATGAAAAGAAAGGACGAGAAGATAAACATCAGACAGCTGTCCAGAAGAAACAGGTACAGTACACATTTTGCACCGTGTGTGTGTGATGCCTGCGACGTGTGAGAAATGTAATGCACATCCAATTTGGGGCTGAGGCCACATTCCTGTAAGCCACGTGCTGGATCATTTGGCGAGCTGTTCGTTTTTTTAGGCCATCGCACTCTGCAAGCATGAGGCAATCGATCGCTGGCCGAATAGTCGGTCAACCAAATTTACTGTTGCTCGGGGCTTGCTTGTTATGAACACCAGAAAAATGAATGAACCCAAAGGTGGTAGTCACTGTGGCGGTGCTGTGTGGACTTGTGGTTCTGCGCCATCATCTAAATGCATTCCTTTTCACACCTTTACTTCTACCCATAGGTCTACATGAGGCAAAGGCATCTTAACTCCTCAGCCTTACCCATGGGTTTGGCATTTAATAAAAAATTACACATGTTGGGGTGGGAAACTGACAAAAAGAGAATCATGACCAGAAATAGCATCTTAAGAAGGCAAATATAAAACCCTCGCAATCAACTGGTAATAAAGGAGGGAAAGAAGTCAGTTTGAGGATCTTTTTTAAAAAAAATGTCAAAACCATGATTGGCATCATGTAGACCTGAGCTTAATGTAAACTTGCAGAAAGCCAGTCAGTCACCTGGGGTGGCATCAGTCCATAATTGACGGGTAATTAAGAGCATAGGTGTTGCTTCTTTTACCACCTGAGTGACATATAAACGGGCATAGCCTGAGGAAGGGTGGAAATTGAGGGGAGCGGTGTGAGCTACAAGAGATTTGTTTTTCTGTCTGCAAGTCTGCATTCAAAGCACTGCGCTTAACCGCCACCTGCTCGCATGCTCACCTCCCAGAAGAACGCTCTGTCACTAAGTATGCTTTGCACTGAAGTGGTCTTTCACTCCTGCTTGTTATGAGGGACTCGTGAACACGGCCACTACTGAGAGGATTAGGAACCAAATGCACCCAACCACACGCGAGGTTTGTAAACACGCCCAGGGAGCATCATGTCCCGCTAGATATCAGTGAGCACAAGGGCAGGCACACGGGAAAACCATCGGGGGCGGGAGGAAGATGCCCCCGGCTGCTGTGTGTAACCACGGGGGCAACGTGAGCACTGGCACGGCAAAAGAGCAGTGAGCCTGCGCCACATGCCGAGTGACCTGAGCACCTTCTCACTCGAGTTAGAGCTAGAAAGGCTGCTTTTACATGAGTGATCTTACCATCCCTGAAAATGAAAAGGAAGAAGACAAGGGGGCTAAAGTGCAGCTTAAAAGAGAAAAGCCCCAAGAAGACAAGCCTGCCTTCAAAAAGGAAGAGGTAAATATTATTGGGAAATGACCTCATTACTGATAAAGCAGCAGAGAGAGTGTGCCATGCATGGCCTTTCAGGTCGGGTCACCGCTGATGTTTTTCAAGCCGTGACTTAGCGATTCATTGATGGCGAAATCCGCTTAGAGCATTTCAAAAGTAGTTCAATGTGTCCATCGGCATTTAAAAAAAGAAATAGAAGCTGTCAGAGAGCATTGTAGGCGGTAGGCACTGCGTAGTGACATAAATTTTCATTCTTACTGTGGGTCATAGTCAAAAGCTTGAAAACGCTTCTCTGCTCAATCTTCCCCGCTTTCTATTCTTCTAAGTGCTATCTCCCCACCCCCCGCCCCTTGAGCCATCCTGCTTTCATTCCCATCAGGACATATTTCCAACTGGCTTTGATTAATGATTTAACTTCTCAAAAGAAAAACACCCCCATATCTCAGTAGAAAATTTGATGCACGGAAGATGATATTTGGTTTCCGAAAGAAAACTTGGGCAAAATGTTCTGCATTGCATTTCTGAGGCACACACAGGCACTGGTGCCAGGGTGTTGGACTATGGGTAAGTAACTGATAAGCGGACCAGAGGCTGCTGCAAAGAGAAGGTCATGACCTGATGTCCTCGAAGTGCCACATCGGAAAGCCCGGTTTTGCTTTATCCATTGTGTTTATGTTAGCCCCAAGGAATCCTAAAAGTTGTGACAGCATCTAATCAGGTCAACATATGTGAACATGGTAAAACTAAATGATCAAAAATGAAAGAGTTTAAGCACTTTGCCCGTGGACTGACCTGTAGTTATTGTTTTTAATGATTTTTTTTTTTTTTTTTTTTTTTTTTTTTTTTTTTTTTTTTAGAGAGAGAGGAAGGGAGAGGGATAGAGAGATAGAAACATCAATGAGAGAGGAACGTCATTGATCAGCTGTCTTCTGCATGGCCCTCTCCAGGGATCAAGCCCAAAACCTGGGCATGTGCCCTGACTGGGAATTGAACTGGCAACCTCTTAGTTCCTGGGTCAATGCTCAACCACTGAGCCACACCGGCTGAGCTGACCTGAAGCTATTGGGCGCCAACTCAAATGTGGTCTTGCTACATTTCTCTACCCATTGTGGCATATGTTAAGAAACAGGAAGTCCTAGCCGGTTTGGCTCACTGGATAGAGCGTCGGCCTGGGGACTGAAGAGTCCCAGGTTCGATTCCGGTCAAGGGCATGTACCTTGGTTGCAGGCACATCCCCAGTGGGGGGTGTGCAGGAGGCAGCTGATCGATGTTTCTCTCTCATCAATGTTTCTAACTCTCTATCCCTCTCCCTTTCTCTCTGTAAAAAAAAATCAATAAAAAATAAATTAAAAAATTTTTTAAAAAAAGAAACAGGAAAAAAAAATCCATAATGGGAAAATAGATAACCAGACTAAATAGTGGGTGATTGTTTTTTTAAGCATTTTTTCTAAAACGCATGTAAAAAGTAAAAACCCCTCGTTCCTGTTATATTTATTTTGTTTAAGATGCCTGTTCCTCCGTGCTTCTAAAAGAATGCATGGTGGTTTGGGAGTGAACACTGAATGTGAACTCTGTCCATTTAAAGGAAGGAGAAAGCGTAAATGCTAATAACTGGAAAACCGAATTTGGCTCAAATGAGGCAGCTAAGGAAATGGTTGAACATGTGGGAAAGCAGTGTTCTCATTTTGTAACAGAAGAACACTACAAAAAAACGCAAGCTACCTTGGCACTAAACTCAAGCAGCAGCGTCCCACAGGGTTCTTCTCTAGAGCTAGCGTCTGGTGAGGAAATCTTTACAGGAAGGAGAGGGCATGAAACCATAGCTCAGTGATTAAGTTTATGTTGGGGATGGGAGCTGGAAAAGCACGTTCGGACTCTGTACTCTAAATGTAACTCGTTTCATGAGGCTCTGATTGGCTTTCAGTGACCAGAGCCTTCTGGGCTGTGTGCTGTGTGGGAGCTGGGAAGAGCTCACGCGGCCATCCAGATCCTCCCTTTGCCTCCTTCGGATAAGCACCTCCCCCCCTCCCCCCCCTCCCCCCCGCCCCAATTCAACACTGTCCTGGGTACAGTGCCTTCAGAGCTGCCTCTTTCCCAGTTTGCTCTACAGCACATTCCACTGTCCCAAAACCCGTGGCCCCTTTTTTATACGAGGCCAGATAAGCTCCTCTGCACAGGATTAAAAATTTTTTTTGTTAAGCTGCCATTCCTATTTTAACGTGGCAGACATAAACTACTAGTTGAATGACTAGGTTTTCCCCTCTCCAGCTAGCTGTGTGGCTGCTTGCTGTATATAGACGACTTTAAATCCTATTTTACGTGACTTAGCCATTTCAAACACCCTCCTCCTTTTTTTAATTTCCTTTTTGTTAAAAAAAAAAAAAAAAAAATTAAGCCTTTTCTTTCAAGGAGCAATGCAGGATCGGTCAACCACGATAAACACAAACACCATGTAAGCCTTCTTAGAGAAAACACTTCCAGAAGTCGCTCCAACACCTTACAGAGCATCTTCTTTCTCCCACTGCGCTTTAACTCTTTTTTTTTTTAAGTGAAGAAACATTTTATTGCTTGTGGCAATGGGTGGCAGATGATCGCCAACCTTGAAATTTAATGTAGCTTTTTTGTTCTCCTCTCCAATCATAAAATGTCTCATTTTAGTTCTTTTATTATTATTATTATTATTATTCTTTCTTTTCTTTTCTTTATTGATTAAAGTTCTTTTTAGTTCTTCACCCTAAAGCTCTCTCCCTCCCCCATCCCCCAACCTCCCCACACACACAGCCTTCGCCCACCTCTAACAGAAAAACAACTTCCGGGGGAGTTGTTCCTACAGTGGTTGAAACTGACATTCATGCATCCAGTCCAAATCTCCCCAACGTTGGTGTCCATGCGAGTCACCAGGAGATCCTAGGAACGCAGAACCTGACCCACTGGCTCTGGGTAGAGTCTGAGCTTCTGGTGAGGTCTGTGTTGTCCGTGGACCGGACTTTCAGTAGCAAGGACATTTATGAGTTATATGTTGGACCCAAAGAAGGAACTGAGGCTTCTGAGTCTAACAAACGTGCATTAAAACCTAATCTGAAAAGAACGGTAACTTGCACCCGTTCTTGTCACTATTCTGGAATCAAATAATGCAAAACAATAAACTACAAAGACTGACATAGCAGTCCTTTAGGACCTGCTCACTTGACACTTTGAATGTCTCTGGCACAGGGTCATGTCGCTGGAATTCCCGCCCCACACACACCCATGTTATCCCATTGGATATCCTAAATACCCAGTTTTAGCCAAATGATCATATTTGGCCGGCCTTTCATTTGCTAATGTTATCTGTCCATGAAGCACATTAACTTTTTCAGAATACTTGGCTACCCATTAATCCATCAGCACAGATTTCCTGAATGATAACATTCTGACCTAGATCTAATGCTTGTCCCAAATGACTCAGAATCCCATGAGCTCGGGTTAAATCTGCTATCCAATCCAATCCACTGTGCTCCTTAAAGTAATATGTAAATGCATTGTGGAATTGCTTTACTTATTCATTTCCCAAAAAGATAAAATAATTTGCAAACTCAAATTATCATGCTTTCACTGGGAATTTTCCTAAGGAAGTCTTCCAAAGAGAACATAAACATAACATCCACCGTAGCCTTTGCCAATAAAGACAGAGCTTGAAGGAAACATGTATTGTTTTACAAATCTATTTTACATACATTTTTGGTCAGTAAATTAGATAATGCATTTGGGAAGAATGGAAATGTCTCTGACTCCAAAATAGGAAAAGTTAGTTAAAGGGTATTTCATCTATTTCACAAACCATGAGATTTGACTCCGGATTTGTTTCATGAGTTTTCTAAAATGGGACCCCTCTCATCCCCAAATTTATATCCCCAGATACTTCTTAACCAAGATATATAATCCAGTCCATGGTTTCTGGGCTGTATCCAACAATGGTACAGCCATTGTTGTACCATTGTTGCCAGCTCCTGCCTGTCCATGGGTACTGATTTATGGTTGGGCCAGGACAGCCACCAAGCTGTAGAACAAGCCAGGAGCTTCCTTCTCTTCTCTGTAGCCTCTCATGACAAATGAGAGGATAGGAGGGAAATGAAAGGATGAAGGATTAGGAAGGGATCATCTAGCCTAATCTCCACTTTTTATGTACGTGGAGTCAATATCTCAGAGAAGTTAGGTGACGTAATCAAAGTAACACAGCTAGTTTGTCAATAGCACTGGAACCAAAATTCAGGTTTCCTGACTTCCAGACAAAACGCTCAGAGAGCATGGCAAAGCAATAGCGCCCTTCTTGAGCATGTCCAAGGGATATCATATCATACCCCTTGGAGGAAGGTTAAAGTTTTAACTAATTAGGACAACACGATAATTGCCCATTGAATTACTGCAGAATAGTCCATCCATAGTAATTTAATCAAATAATACCCAAAGAAGGAAGTCAGGGAAAGGACTATTGAAGGCTCATCAGTAAAGATTTTTTTAAAGTGCTTTACTTACCCCTAACCGGTTTGGCTCAGTGGATAGAGCGTCGGCCTGCGGACTGAAGGGTTGCAGGTTCAATTCTGGTCAAGGACATGTACCTTGGTTGCAGGCACAACCCCAGTAGGGGGTGTGCAAGAGGCAGCTAATCAATGTTTCCCTCTCATTGATGTTTCTAACTCTCTCTCTCCCTTCCTCTCTGTAAAAAATCAATAAAAACTATATTTTAAAAAAAATAAATTAAGTGCTCTACTTAGTAAAACGTGCACATTAATAATAACTGTTCAGAGGGTATCTGAAGAATAACTGGACATAAGTGAGTTCTCAGGGAAGGGGAGACCATCTAGGCAGCACCTAAAATCCTAAGCTCTTATGCCCCACCCTTGCTCCGTAGGCTCCTTTAGAACATTAGTGCTTTCTCTGTTTTCTTGGAAAGAGCAATGTGGAACCTCCCCCGTTTTCACACTCATCTTTTAGGAATGGGTGAGATGATATAGGTAAAGTAACCTGTACTCCTTTACCCCCCCCCCCCAAAAAAAAGCTATGTAAATTCAGTTTACTTTGAAATAATCTCTTATTTACCATGAGGCACTTGTAATGTGAAACCCAGAAAATATTACAGTTAATACCTGTTCTTCATGTATGACATTTTGTGACCCACAAGAATCACAAAACCACTCCTGGAGACTAAATTACTGCCCGCACTGGAAGTCAAGGTAAGCCCTGGAGTGTCTCCCATCCCACTCTAACTTAGTGCTTGAGAGATTACAAACATGGTCCCACAGACCTCTGAGTCATCCCCTTGTGTCCTCTGTCCTGAAGATCCTAGTTACTTTTTTAAAAATATATTTTTATTGATTTCAGAGAGAGAGAGAGAGAGATACAAACATCAATGATGAAAGAGAATCATTGATCGGCCGCCTCCTACATGCCCCTATTGGGGTACGAGCCCGCAACCCAGGCATGTGCCCTTGACTGGAATCGAACCAGGATCCTTCAGTCCATAGGCCGATGCTCTATCCACTGAACCAAACCAGCCAGGGGCCCTAATTACTTTTTTTATTAGGATACTAGGGTCATCCTCCTCTGAAATCAGCTAAAACTGGCTTGGCAGATCTTAACCTGTCAGGTTTCCTCTTCTTTCCTCCTCAGCTCATTTGTGTTCTTCACCCCAGAAGAAACCTGTCCAAGCAACCTGGGCATTTTCCCATCAAAGCCACCCCAATCATCGTTCTTTCACTGGGAACTGCAAACCACTCATGTCGATGGAGTTCCAAGAATGTAATAGTTTTCAATGGTAGCACCTCCAATGCTTTCTAAAATAAAGCCCCCAGTGAAATCAGGAATGATCTTGACTTCCTAAAACTGTGGTCAAGGTCTTTGCTCAGAGGCTGGAGAACCGTCGCTCATGCCCCAAGAATTTCCTCTGACCCCATCTCTACCACATCGTTCGACGGTGTTTTTTTTTTAACTTCTGAGGTTTCTGGCTTCCTAGCAATCTGGGATCTTATTTGGTGATACCAACCAAAACCTAATACGGTTTTTATTGTTATGTTTCTTCCTGATGTGTACCGTTGGTTAGATCAAAGATGAGAAGATCAAAAAGGACAAAGAGCCCAGAGAAGAAGTGAAGAGCTTCCTGGATGGAAAGAAGGGGTTTACAGAAGTGAAGTCGCAGAATGGAGAATTCATGACCCACAAGCTTAAACACACCGAGAATACCTTCAGGTAAGACGTAGTAGCTCACAGTGACTGTGTTCACATGTGAAAAACAAATCAGCCTCCTATCCTGTGCCTCTGGACAGAAAGTGCTGAACAGGCAACATGCTTTTGTTGTGAGGTCATTGGCCATTGTCTCAGGGATACTCAGTCAGCAGGCCGGGCTATCAATCGCTAACAGAAGACCACGGTCATTGCTCAGGCAAAGTGTAATCCACCTTTCCCATAACTTAGCAACGTAGGTTAGGCCTGGCATCCAAGCTTTTGTCCCTGACCTGATATGCTCATGGAAGATGAGTGTAGTAGAAAACAGTATGCCTGGAATTCATATATTTGATTCATTCTCTATATCAGGGGTCCTCAAACTACAGCCCGCGGGCCACATGCAAATACAAATATTGTATTTGTTCCGTTTTGTTTTTTTACTTCAAAATAAGATATGTGCAGTGTGCATAGGAATTTGTTCATAGTTTTTTTTTTTTTAACTATAGTCTGGCCCTCCAACAGTCTGAGGGACAGTGAACGGGCCCCCTGTTTAAAAAGTTTGAGGACCCCTGCTCTATATGGTCCAGGCAACTTCATAAGAGACCTTCTCAATACCATTTTCAAAATTGTATTTTCTAAAGGTTGTGGATAAGTACTGCATTCAACGAGGATTGTTCTGTGGCCAAATATTTGGGAAACATTCAGTTAAACTGAGTCAATCATTTCTCTTTGCCACAGGGCTTGGAAAGCACTTGGTGTTAGTTTGCATTGGGAGCCTCTGAGAGGGAAGAAGAAGGCATCCGACTAATACTCCAGTTAGAACCCCTCTTGCATAGCCTCAGCTTCTCCTCCGCATCCTATTATGTTGAAAATCTGGGCAACTGATTTTAGGACAAGTAAATGAACACTTAGAGTTCCCAACCAATTTTGTAGGACTCAAGTTGCAGATGCCCACTACAGATCATTCTCCGGGCCCCATTCCTACCTCTGGGCCCCATTCCTGCTGTGCCCCATGTTCTGGAAGAGTCTGGGTCCCTATAACGTGGATTTCCATGCAGCCTTGCCTGTAGACCCTGTGTTTCTGAACACTTCAAATAACAAAGTCCCAAGCAGGTATGGTGTAGAAGTCAGACATGGGCCTCACAATGAAGCCTTTGTCACATACAGAAGCAAGCACAGCTACTGGGGAGGGATGTGTCCAGCCCCTCTAAGAAGCTGAGATGGGTCAACATAATTGCCCCCAAACAATTTTTCTACTCAAAACTTTGAGCAGAAACCGCATTACATTTAACCAATAGAAAGCCTAAATTGACAGGAAAGTAGATATGAGCCCAAACTGGTTTGGCTCAGTGGATAGAGCGTCGGCCTGCAGACTCAAGGGTCCCAGGTTCGATTCCAGTCAGGGGCATGTACCTTGGTTGCGGGCACATCTCCAGTCGGGGGTGTGCAGGAGGCAGCTGATAGGTGTTTCTCTCTCATCGATGTTTCTAACTCTCTATCCCTCTCCTTTCCTCTCTGTAAAAAATCAATAAAATATATTTTTTAAAAAAAGAAAGATATGAAAACTTAAGAGTTTATCAGGAATTTATGGAAAATCTAGAAAGCAAGTTGATTCGGGCAGGTAAGCCGAGCCCAAAGCTTGCTAAGTGTCAGCAGGTTAATGTTTTTAAGCCCTAGAACAGCGTCAAGTTCATGAGACGTGTTCAATGAACATTACCTAACAGTGTTAGCGTTTTGTTGTTTGATAGTTTAAAACCTGTTTTGTGAGTATGAATACATTTTTTGTTAAGAGAAATAATGCTTTAAAAAAATCTGTCAGTAGAAAGTTTGGTTAACAATTAGCAAGCTTGCCAACCAGCTTTAACCAAATTCAAATTAATAATTAACATGTCCGTTGTGTGGAAATCCAGGGAGTTGGGTAACACCACCAAGAGGAAAGTCAGCAGGGATGCCAACAGGTTGCACACTGAGGACTCTGAAATGTGACTCTTTGATTTTCATCTTTGGGCAGACAAAAATGACAGAAACATAAAGTTTTTGTTTAGCTGCCAACGTGTGTTAGTGTTAGTTTCAATAGAAATCCGTGATGATAGAAGCGGAAATGCCTGGTTTTGTTCCATAAAGTGAGGAGCTGGGGAGGAAGAGCCTCTATTTAAATTGGCAGAGTGTCTACCAGCCTAACTGAAAACAAGCTGTGTGTTTTTAGAAAATGTATTTTTTTAAAATATATTTTATTGATTTTTTACAGAGAGGAAGGGAGAGGGAAAGAGAGTTAGAAACATCGATGAGAGAGACACATCCATCAGCTGCCTCCTGCACACCCCCCACTGGGGATGCACCCACAACCAAGGTACATGCCCTTGACTGGAATCAAACCCGGGATCCTTCAGTCCACAGGCCAATGCTCTATCCACTGAGCCAAACTGGTTAGGGCTATTTATTTATTTTTGTTAATCCTCACCTGAGGATATTATTTCCATTGATTTTTAGAAAGAGTGGAAGGGAGGGAGTGGGGAAAGAGAGAGAGAAACATCTATGTGGTTGCCTCCGGCAGGCTGGGGAGCAAACCTGCAACCCAGGTATGTGCCCTTGACCGGGAATCAAACTTACAACCCTTTCAGTGTGCAGTCCGAGGCTCTACCACTGTGCCACACCGGCCAGGACACAGCTGTGTTTTTATTGGTGAAAGGTCTGATGTTCTTCTTGACTTAAAACCCAATGAAGCCAAGGATAGCAGAGAGAGCCTTCTAGAAGAAATTTTCATATTACTCATGACACCCTAATGCTGAGGGCATGCCAGCACATGTGAGCAGAGGTAATATGGACAAAACTCTTGTTCCTGTTTTGAGCATAATTCCCGTGTTTCATTTAATTACTATCCCCTTTGATATTTCTGTTTTCTTATAACTAGATCATTTTCTCGAAGAGATAACATAAAAATCTCAATTCAAGGAACAAGTTTATAGAGCTAGATTATACCAAGGTTTTACAGAGAGTACAGAACAAGCGTTTGTTTTGCTTTCTTTTTGTTTTTTATGTGGGAATTAAAGTTTTTTCTGATTATCAGAAAAATTGTACTCATTATAAAACATTCAGAAAATAGAAGTACAAAAATAAGTACCCACCACCCAAAGATAACATTAGTAACATTTTTGCAGATATTTTTTATGTATATACATTCAAAATAGACACTCATATATAGGCAACATGTATATGTGAGTGTAATTATAAATCTACATTTTAAATTGATTCTTGCATTAGCATAGCAATGCACCTTAGCTAGCCTTCTATACCAACAAACATAAGTCTACAGCGAATGATGGTAGCCTGTTGCACTGGATGGAAATATGGTGATTTATTTAACCAGTCCCTAATGGTGGCATTCTGCATGTCCAAAATGAAGACTGAGCGACATCTAGTGGAATCTAGAGAAGTTTATACAAGGCATGTGTTATGCTCGTCCAATTGAGCGCTAACATAATGAACACAACAGAGCAAATGTCTCTGAAGATAGAAAGACCTTAGATTAACTGAGAGAGCAGATTTCCTCTCTGAAGTCACAAGCCTATAAACCTAGAAGACCTGAAAGAACAACATCAAGTTTTAAGGGGCCGTGTAACTTTGATTGAGTCCAAAATAAAAGAATTCACTTTTTTTTAACCATCAAGTGCCCTAGAATAAGATTTTTTTTATTATTGAATTTTAGAGAGCGAGGAAGGGAGAGGGAAGAGAGGGAGAAACATCGATGTAAGAGTGAAACATCGATTGGCTGCCTCCTGCACATTCCCCACTAGGGACTGAGTCAGCAACTGGCATGTGCCCTGACCAGGTATCAAACCAGAGACCTTTGCATACATGGGACAATGCCCAACCAACTGAGCCACACCAGCCAGGGCTAGAATACAATTTTGAAACGTTTTAACCTCAGCTCTTAGTTCATGTTTTGTAAATGCTGATTACATTCCACTGAATTGATTTCCTGACCTGCAGCTTGAAAAGCGTCGTTCTAAAGGGCACAGTATATTCAGATCCTCAGTGTTTTAAAAGCATGTGATGTACACATAAGATCAATATTAGTAATTGTGTCATCTTGAACTATTTTTCTGTTTTATTCTTCCTCTTGCTCCATAGCTAGAAACACTGTGCCATTCTCCACATATAATAAATGGTGCTAGACAGTGGTAATTCATCTGTTACTCAGACAAAAGTGTTGGACACGGGGTACCTATGTTCAGATCTAGTTAAGAATGCCCTCACTACTTGTTCATTAGTATTTAAATAAGATTTTTTATGGCTAAATAATATTCCACTGTAAATATGTACCACTTTTTTTTACCCATTCATCCATCAGTGAACACTTAGGTTGTTTCCATATCTCGGCTGTTGTAAATAATGCTGCAGTGAACATGGGGGTGCAGATATCGTTTGGAATCAGTGTTTTCCTTAATTGTGGGATCATATGGGAGTTCTGTTTTTAATGTTGTGAGGAGTCTCCCCACTGCTGTTCATCGTGGTTGCACCACTTTCCAATCCCACTTGCCCCCAATGTATAGCTGAGAAAACCCAGGGTAAGTGGCAGAGCAGGGACTCAGATTCAGACCTGGAGATGCCCTCTGGGCCCCGGCCTGCCCCTTGGGTCGGTGTGAGGATCTCCTGCCCAATGACGGACAGTGGAGATTTCTATGTGGGAGGCCAAGCCTGCAGGCCCACATCCCCTCCCTCCAGGGAAGGCTGCAGGCGGACATGTGTCAAACCCCTTTGCATCCCTTTCTCTCCCCCCACCAGCCGCTCTGGAGGGAGGGCCAGCGAGGCCAAGGAGGTGGAAGGGGCTCCCCAAGTGGAAGCTGGCAAGCGCCTGGAGGAGCTGCGCCGCCGTCGTGGGGAAACTGAGAGCGAAGAGTTTGAGAAGCTCAAACAGAAGCAGCAAGAGGCAGCCCTGGAGCTGGAGGAGCTGAAGAAAAAGAGGGAGGAGCGAAGGAAGGTCCTGGAGGAGGAAGAGCAGAGGAGGAAGCAGGAGGAAGCAGAGCGGAAAGTCAGAGAGGAGGTAAGGAGAGCGCAGCCCGCCCAGCCATCGGCACCCCGACTCACTCAAGCCCCTGAATGCCTATCTCTGGTGACCCTTCTGGCCCAGAGGACAATTTCTTCCCTGGTGAAATGAAATGCTGCTACTCTTTTGAGCATGGACTCTACGAATACATTTTAAGGATAGTAAACTTAACTGTGTGCTAAGCATGGTCCCAAAACCTTTATACATATTAATTTATCCAGTTCTCATCAGAACAGGTAGTCTTGTCCCCATTTTACAGATGGGTAAAGTGAGGCACAGAGCCATGTTTTCCTGTTTGTTCGTTTTGTAATTTTCCCAAGGCCCCACTTGTCTTACTCCATTACCCTATGTGCCCTCCATAAAGAACTACAGAGAGCGGAGAAGGATGAAAAGGGTCTGCAGGTTAGTTACAGGAATCAAGAGTCACATGATGGTTGTTTTTTTGGACATTTAAAGAATTTTTATAGAGAAGTTTTTAAAAATAGGTTTTGGGCTTTTTTAGTGAAAGAGTCTAGATGTTCACAGTCAGGGGACAGTATGTGCTCTGTTCATCGCTGTATACCCAGGACACAAACACAGTGCCAGGCATGTAGCAGGAACCCAGTAATTATGAGCCCGTGAATTTGTTCCATATTTTAAGACAGAATTGAAAACGACAAATAAAGTTACCAAAAGGCTATTTTGAAAACTGAAAAAGTGCTTAACCACCTACAACTTACATTGCTATTTTTTTACAAGGTGCCCATTTTTCTTTCAACCTGAGGTACATTATTATTCTCATTTTATGAGCAAAGAAATGGAAATCCAATAGTTTTGTTATCAGTGGGGTGCTCTCTGTGTCCCCACTGGTTGCCAAAGGAAGTGGGCTGCTTGGGGTGCAGCTGGAATAAGAATTTCCGGAGGCCCCATGGGAGGATGAGGTATCGTGGAAAGTTTTATTTCTGTGGAATTAAACGCCTGAGTTTCCAAGGTCCCATCTTCCTCCATCCGCCAAGGAAAGAGTCCCATTTCATCCTCAGCAGAGCGAGGATTGAGGCCAGTGTCCAGAGTTTCCGTTCCGTTTGCCCAGTCCAGGCCAGCATCAGGCTAGCTCAGCTTGTGTTCCCAGCTGCAGTCCATGGCATGTGCGGTTCGCATGTTTGTGGGCCATGCATGTGGCTTCTAGGGCCACATAAATATGGAGGGAACATGGGCGAGTGCAAGAAGCAGGAGCAAAGCAAGAGAAACAAGAAAGAGAGAATCCTTTTGTCTCGGGGTTTTAACCTAAAATTTCGCACTTAAAGTGTCTGCAGCCCTCCAGCCATCTTTGTTTCCAGGTTAGACTGCCAGGCAAGCACCTTCCCCACGTCACCCCGACTTTACTGCACATGCATCCTCCTTCTCCTTTGTCCCCCAGTGATTTGCAGGGAACAGACCGGTGGTTCACTGTGGAGCATGAATGTGCAGCTTCCTGGTGAAGCTGCCCAGATGACCATGCTTATAATGCCTGGCCTCCCCTTTGCTCCTTTCCTAGTATTAATATTAATGATTAGCTAATTACAGTGAAAATGGTTTGAGTGGCTTGTGTGAAGTTACTTGACTAAGACGTGGTCGGACCCAGCTTCTGCACATTAGCCTGGAACTCTTCTCACTGATCTTTGGGAACACTGATCTCCCATCACCCAAAAGATGCAGAAAGACTTCGTTTCTTTCTGACTTGGGTCCTATGTAAACATTCCCCAAACTGTGTGGAAAGTTTGGATAAATGGTTCCAAAATCTCTCCCAAGTCCAGCTGTCCATGCGCCAGTGATCTCTGGTTGGGAAGTAATGGGGATGGAAGAGCGTTAGAACCAGAGCGTTAGAACCAGACATACCTGGGCTCGTATCCTGACAGCCGCTTGCAAGCTGGGACCTTGGGAGAGTTACTGGACGACTCTGAGCCTTCTCTCCCTTATCTGTGAAACACCTACTTTCAGGATCGTTGTGATGACTAAATAGGTCAGGGGTCCTCAGACTTTTTAAACAGGGGGCCAGTTCACTGTCCCTCAGACCGTTGGAGGGCTGGACTATAGTTTTAAAAAAAACTATGAACAAATTCCTATGCACACTGCACATATCTTATTTTGAAGTAAAAAAACAAAACGGGAACAAATACAATATTTGTATTTGCATGTGGCCCGCGGGCCGTAGTTTGAGGACCCCTGAAATAGGTCATTGTATTCACAGTGCCTGGCACATCATAGGCCCCGAGGAAGTGGCAGTTATAGTCATTGTTATCATTGTTATTATTCGTTAGAGGAGATTACCAGTGAAGGCACAATGAATTCTTAGGATTGGATTGAGTTGGAGATTATTTTTTTCTCACCTCTTGCCAATAAAATGTAGACTGCATGGCTTAAAGGCAACAGAAATTATTTCTCACAGTTCTGGAGGCTGAGAAGTCCAAGAACAAGGCCTGCAGATTCTGTGCCTGGTCAGGGGAAGCTTCTGGTCATAGACGGCCATTATCTCGCTGTGTCCTTGCGTGGTGGAAGGAGCCAGGGAGCTCTCTGGGGTCTTTTTTTAAGACATTAATCCCACTCATGAAAGCTTCACCAGCAAGACCTAGTCACCTGTTAATGTTGTCACACTGGGGGTTAGGATTTCAACCTATGAATTTTGGGGAGACACGAACATATAGTCTATAACACTCAGGATCCTTCTGCAACATCCTCTGACAGGTGGACATAAATTCTCTTCTTGAGAACATCCAGTGAAACAGATCTCACAATTTGAAAATTACAAAAGACAACCTAAATCTCTCAAAGTCGTTCACAGAGGATGTGTGACTTAATCAGAGATCTGGAGTTTTGGCCTGAGAGAGAAGCAGGGGACACTATTTTAGGCCAGGAATGAAGGCACAGAGGGGTATTGAGACAGGTTGTGAATATCTGTGATTTCACCACTGTGGTGCAATACCTACCTCATTTCAGGTTTGTCAAACCATCTAAAATAATCTACTCTGTTGAGGTGGGCACAACCATAAAATCATCTCTCGTACAGTTTGACAAATGTGGTACCACAGATTTATATAACTTTGCACATAAGTTGTCTCACTTGTCTTCACACTCTCCTAGGAACTAGGAAGGTGAGATATTTATATGAATTTCACATAATTCAGAAGTGAAAGGTCAATGTTAAATGACGTGACAGGATGATGATAATGGTGATCACCATACTGAGCACTAGCCTAAGCATTTTACATGGGCTCATTAAAGCCCTGTTCAGTGGGTTCTATTATTATCCCCATTTTACAGATGAAGAGACTGAGGCACAGAGCAGATAAGTAAATGTGGTCAAGGTCGCAGCTGGGGAGTGGCAGCACCAGCTTTAACCTCTAGTGACCACCCTTGAGGACCCAGTGCATTCACTCTAGAACCTGGGTCTTTTTTCTCTGGGACTTGTGCCCTTTCTTCTACAGCACCCATTCCCCTGGGCTTGAACCTGATGTTGATGTCCTTGTTACTTGCTCTTTCCCTCTTAAGGAAGAGAAGAGGAGGCTAAAGGAGGAGATTGAAAGGCGAAGGGCAGAAGCTGCTGAGAAACGGCAGAAGATGCCCGAAGATGGCTTAGCAGAGGACAAGAAACCTTTCAAATGTTTCACTCCCAAAGGTTCATCTCTCAAGGTATTTTTCCCCCAGAAAATCCCCCTTATAATACCGCTACTATAGTATCTTAGAAACTTGATTTTAGCCTCTAAGTTATTGATTATCCCAAGCCTTTGCTCCATGCATCTTTTTGCTCCTTCATTCAGCCATTTCACAGTTTTTCTTTGTTTTCAACATATGCAAAAGAGAGAAATAAAGTGGGGAAATGTGTATCTGTTGTTATTAGATGCTTTGGTACACATTAAAAAGGCCATCAGCGATTATCTCTGGATCTCACTGACCCATGCTCCCCAGCTGCCTCGTTGCTTTGAGCAGTTGGAAAGGGAAACATTTATAAAATGGCAAATACATTGTAAAGGTTATGCTGTTTTTCACACTCGCCAATCATTTTTTCTTTATCATTATTAAAGCAGGGCAGCTAGAAACGGTACCGTTCAAATTTGAAAGCTATTATAGGGGAGGAGATGAAATGCGACTTGGAAGGGTCCTTTGCCAGGATGAGTTTGGTCCTACTACTGCCTTCAGGGAGCATAGCTCCTAATCGACGTCAGACAGAAGTGCTGACAGACGAGAACGAGCGGGAAAAACTGACTTAAGGGAATAATGGGTTGAGATGGGAAAAGAGCACAGACTCAAGAAAGTACTGTGATCTACATTCAATCTGCCATTGCTTTTAAATACATTTTCTGTTCATGAGAGTTAACATGCATTGAGCTCCCGGCACAGTTAATATACTCAGTAAGTATGTGGATATATGAATGAATGGATATATGAATGAATGACTCTTCAGAGATAGGAACTCTTAACCTTTTTATTTCACCTTCATTTTCCATCAACCTTGTTAGGTCACAAAGCATTGACAATGCGCAAAGCCAGTACAGAATCACAGCCAGGCTCCAGCCGGTCAGAGTGTGTGTGTGTGTGTGTGTGTGTGTGTGTGTGTGTGTGTGTGTGTGTGTGTCTGTCTGTCTGTCTATAAATGTGTGTGAGGTTTTATCACTTGGCACACGAAAATGACCAAAAAAACAGTTACATTTTACAGTTATTACCTGTTTCACATGAAAATCAGCATATTTTATCCCTAAATAACCTCACTTACGCTTCATGTACTTTTGGGCCCCTTCATAGTTCTGATACATCTCAAAGAAACTACTTATGGGCAAGGTCTTTTTGAGGGGGAATCCAAACTAAGCCACGGGGAATGTTATTATTTAATACAGACTACCACAGAAGTGAGATCTCAGAGCTGACAGAGTGAGGAGCGGCCGGCTTTGTAGAGTAAGTGAGCTTCATTGATGGACGCCAAAATTTGAATTTCACAGAATTTTTTTTTGTGTCACAAAATATTGCCCTTCTTTTGATTTTTGTCAACCATTTGACAATATGAAACATTCTTAGTTTGAGGGCTATGTGAAAAGCAAGGCCTGCAAGTCAAAACCGCGCTCGATTCAGGCTACCTCCGTGCAGCCACTGGTGTCCTTTCTGTTCCTGGTCCAGGCCCTTTGGTTCCTGACTTATCAATATTGAAAGAAAACCACATTTTTTTAAAAAAATAGATTTTTATTGATTTCAGAGGGAAGGAAGAGGGAGAGAGATACAGAACATCAATGATGAGAGAGAATCATTGATCGGCTCCCTCCTGCACACCCCCTACTGGGGATCGAGCCCGCAACCCGGGCATGTGCCCTTGACCGGAATCGAACCTGGGACCCTTCAGTTCACAGGCCAACGCTCTATCCCCTGAGGCATGACAGCTAGGGCCACACTTTCTCTTTCTGTCTCCCTCTAAATCCCACCCAAGCTGAACAATCCTGGGACAGTCTTGGTAACACAAGGAAAATGGTAGTGGCCTAGACTTCTCATTTCTACTCTCTTTGTTCAGGAGAAACTACAATCCATCCTCCTCCTTCAAATATCTCCTCTCAACCAGGTTTTTCAACTTACTTCTCTAGTCTTTCCATCAACCAGACTCCTGGGCCCCCAGGGGGCCATTTAGCTACTTCCTCTAGGAGAGAGGCATGTGTGAGCAGTCAAAGTAGATGCATTTGCAAAAGCAAAACACTTTAAACTTCTATACAACAGAGACATGCTTTCAGAAACGGACAGTTTCTTGCCTTGCACCATAGTGTGTGCTTTGAAGAGCTTATGTGGCTCTGGTTTTGTTATGGGTGGGTGTCCTCTAATTTCCTAGCCTGTTGCTGGTAGAAGTGGCCTTCTTGGGATGCCACAGGAATAAGAATTTCCTGAGGCCCCCACGGGAGGATGAGGTATTATGGAACGCTTTAATGATGAGGTACCATTAAGGGAGTTCACCTTCAGGATCCCATCTCCCTAAGTCCCACCGTGAAAAAGTCCCATTTTGTCTTCAGCAGAGCTAGGATTAACGCCACTGCCCAGAGCCTCTGCTCCATGTTGAAGCCCTGTCCAGTCCAGCATCTGGCTAGCTTAGCTTGTGTTCCAGCTGCAGTCTATTGCAGGTGGGGTCCGCATGGCCATGAGCCATGCGACTGCTTCAGGCCACATGGCAGGCTAGCCCACATCATGGAAAAAGCAAGTGTCAGGAAGCAAGAGAGAAGCAAGTGGAACAAGAGAGAGAGCATTTCTGTTTGGGGATTTTAAGCACGGCCTTATCCAATTAATTCTTCATGATTTCGTATGCTTACAGTGGCTCCACCCCCTCTAGCCAATTATCTTTGTTTCCAGGTTAGACTGACAGGCAAACATCTTCCCTATGTCACCCCCGACTTCACTGCGTATGCATCCATCTTCCCCTTTGTTCGATCCCTTTCCGCAGTGAACTGCAGGGAATGGACCAATGGTTCCCTGGGGAGTGTAAAGTTGCAGCTTCCTGGTGAAGCTGCCCAGATGACCATGCTTATAATGTCTGGCCTTCCCTTTGCTCCTTTCCCATTTTAATATTGATAACTGGCTAATTACAACAGTAACAGTTTCATATACTACAATTGAATTTTTGCAATTGTTGACACTCTTGGCCCTGCAACTTTTATAACTGGTCACAAGTTAACATTCTAGAAGGCCAGTGGGAGGAAAAACATTTCATATTATATTTGATCTCAAAATAGTATCAACTAATGTATTTTGTTAAGTCTCATGACTTCTATTCATTGTCTGGAAAACCCTGAACCTGGTCGCTCGTAGTTCAATGATGTTAGCAGTGATGGTTTGATTTTTTTTTTACATAATACATGCAAAGAATAAATTTTAAGTAAAATAAATTTAAAATTTTGTTTTTATTGTTATTGTTTTCATATGGTGGTGGTGGAGGGAGTATGGAGTAAGGAGAAAATAATAGTATGCTTTTTCTCCGAGTTTTATCCAGACAACACTGCTACCATTGGCCTTAGAAGAAGCAATGTTCCTCGTTAAAATTATACAGAACGTTTAATTTACATATTGTTATATTACCTAGAGTCATCAAGCTCAGGAATTTCCCAACAAGAGTGCATCAGGAAATAGATGGTGAGGCCGGACAAAATGTGATAATGAAGTCAAGCTGTATTAAATATTGTAGATAGGAAAGGAGAAGGTGGAATCTGAGAACCTCTGTAGTTTGAGTATTTGTGATGGCCAAGGTTAACAAAATGATCCCTGACTCAGAATGATGCTGGAAGTGCTACCAAGAATAAGTCTCACCTCTGGTACCACCCTCCACTGTGCTTCTGTCTGCTAGAAATGTCCTCTGCCCTTTAACTCATGCACTCTCACCCTCACTTTCATAAACTCATTTATAAAGCTATGTAAACAATAAACTACAAATCTCAGCTCAGGTATCAAAATATCTCAAAAACCTTCTCCAACCCCTCACACACACACCACCACCACCACCACCACCCCCAGGTAGTCACTTCTCCCATAGCTACAGCATTGTCATATCCTTAATATGGTACCAGCATTGAATTTTAAATATTTTATTTCTAGGTTCTACTAGTCTCTCTTACTAAAATGTGTTCTCTTTAAAGAATCTAATACATCATTGGGTGTTGAACTTCATGTAGTAGGTTTTCAACATAATTTATTGGTTGGTTGTTTGACTGCAAGGCTGACAAGGTTAAAGGTAGGATGGATGGATGGATGGATGGATGGATGGATGGATGGATGGATGGATGGATAATATTAAAAGTTCCAGTGCATTGTGTGTATTCCAGCTTATTCAGCTGGGAACTTTTTCTCTAGAAGTTTATATTAGTTTAAAGTTCTAAGTTTATATTAAAATTTTTTAAAAAATTAGATTTAAGATTCTCTACATCCCATAATCTCAGGGACACCTATAGCACTTTCCTGGTCACAACTGTTTGCTAATACTGACAGGTGATTTGTGGCAGAGATTATTTCCAGCCTGGAGTTGGGTATCATAAGGAGTCAACAATATTTGCTGACTATAAAGAACATCTGGATTTAGGTAGTGCTGTTTCAGTAAAATATAATGTTTGATTTAGTAGCTTTAGTTTTAGCAAAAAGAAGTTCCTAGCTTTAAAAAAAAAAAAAGAATATATTAAAGACTAATGAACTGCCCATCTAGTGTATATCCATCACAATTTCTCTGGGTTTATTTTCTTGTTTCCCATTTGGGCTAATGGGGGCTTTGTGGAAGGCCTCAGCCATCACTGATGAGCTATGCCCCAGTCTCACTCCACCCCCACCCCCTCTTCTACTTTCAGGGCAAATTAAGTTCAGCAATAGGCTTGACAGCTATCAAATCAGGAAACCAGGCTAGGCCCTGAGTGAATAGTTCCCAGTCGCTGGTTGTCTTTCTTATTAATAGGGTCAAATAAGAAAGATAACCAAATATATGGTCAGAACATTGTGGAAGTTTTTCTTAATCAAAGAGCATGGTATATCTATACTCATAAAAACATGTCCTAAAGGGTAACAGCATGTATTGTTTTTTAAATTGTTGCTAAGAAAGTAGATCTTAAAAGTTCTCATCACAAAAAGAAAAAAAAACAATGTTGTCAGGTGATGGATATTAACTAGACTTATTGTGGTGATCATTTTGCAATATATTCAAATATTAAATCATTATGTTGTACACCTGAAACCTCTAGTAATATAATGTTACATGTCAATTATACCTTAATAAAGAAATAAGTAGAACAAATTTTAAAGTATGCCAGGAGGCAAAAAAGAAATTATTGCTATGGTCTTGAAATGCAATTACTTGACCACTGATTTAAATGATCTCAGAGGCATTTTTACTCCATTTCTGTCTGGCCTTCAGTTTGCCTCCAGAACTTCATATTTCTCTCCACACTTTCTCGATCCTCTGCCAATCTTCCCTTCACCTCTCAGCTCTCATGACCAAACACCTTATATGCATTTTCCTCGCTGGCACAGCACCCTAATTAAAACTCTTTGACACTCCTTGGTGCTCTCCTTCACCAGGGTCAGGGACACTGTTTATGAGCTGAAAATATTAACTGTTGTTGTTTTTTAATTCCTAGATAGAAGAGCGAGCAGAATTTTTGAATAAGTCTGTGCAGAAAAGGTAAATATGGTTGATTGTTCACTGGAGAATCACCAGCCATCATATGTATGGAAAGATTTTCTCTCTTATCTTTATGTGTGTGTTTATTTACTTACCAGTGGTGTCAAATCAACTCATCAAGCGGCTGTTGTTTCCAAGATTGACAGCAGGCTGGAGCAATACACCAGTGCCATTGAGGTGAGTGATGTCTGCAGGGTTATGCTCAAACAGAAATCAGCTCTGATTGTGTCAATGATCATAGAAATGTGTAGGACAATAAGCAAGTCTAATAACCACATTAGTGTTAGAACATTAATAATGCTTTATTATACTTGAAACTAGTTAGAGAGAAGAACAGTAATAAAGGTAAATTATAGAAGGGTTTTAAATAAATTATTGTTTACTACCTTCAGCCTGAGTATTCTTTAATGGAGGTGTTATTCTTTTAATGAATAGGCTTATTGATATTCAACTATGTTATTTATATGTTGGTATGTGTATCTTCTAATTTTAATTCCTTATAAAATATGTTCCTATATGTAGTTAAACAGGTCCCATGTAACCTTGGTTAATCCTTATTTCTCTATAAAAACTTTTATGTTCAAACAGTAATAGTGATAGTATGAGTTAATATAAAGATGATTGCCAGCTAGAGTTTAATCACCATGAATTTCAAATTGATTATTTTATGCTTATAGGATCATAGTTATATGCTTCTGTCTATTCCAACTTTTTCCCACAAAGTTGACCCAGGGGTTCTACCACATTTAGAAATAATGTATATTGCCAAGTACCAAAGCTCTAAGAAGGTAGGATACCATTCATCAATGTGTGATCCTAGTTTTTTCTCCTTTGTGTAGACTTTAGGCACTGATTTTAGCCAGCTTCTATGTCAGAACATCTGCTATGAAGGAATTGGATAAGCTTGATTTGATTTCCTCCTCTCCTTTATACTGCAGAGTGGACATAAGTATAAAATAATTCACAACCAAATAAATTATGAGGGAATAAAAATGAGATCTGAATGATTTATCAAATGAATAACCAAGTCCTAATACTCAAGAGGTGATTTCCACAAGATTAAATGTCCACTGAAATATCAGACAAATTGCAGACAGTTATTTTCTGTGGTTACATGTATTATAGCTCTAAGAGGGTTGATGAAGCCAAGACTGTGGCTTCGGCCTTTACATGGTCCAGTGATGGTCCCACTCACCATGGCTGACCACCTCGACCACACAGGCCACCGGTTACAAAGCAGGACCAGGCAGGAAATTGCATGATTCTGGGCATGCTAATCGCTACTGCAGAAAAGTATCTCAAATGCACACTTTTCTTCCTTACATCCATTCTTTCCTCCTCCCAAGATATTCTCCATAAAGTGGCCTCTCACTCTTTCAATCCTTTATCGAGTCCCTGTCTCCAGTCCTTTGCATATGCTGTTCTCTCTGCATGGAATGGTGTGTGTGCCTCCTTTTACCTAGCCACTTCCACATCTTCCATCAATCTGGGTTTAAATGTCACTTCCTCAGAGCAGCCTTCTTTGCTCCCTATTATATTATCATTATTCCCCTACTGTGTGCTCTCTTGGCATGCTTTGTGACACTACATTTATCTTTCATAACACACCGAAATGTGAAATAAATACTTATGTCATCAATTACTATCTTCCTGTCCTATTAAAATGTAAGTCCACTGCAGCTTACGGAGCAGACTGTCTTGTTTTGGGTACCCCTATAACACCAGCGCCTCGGCACTGAGGTACCTGTTGAAGAAATGAAGTAGAATATCACTTACACAATAAATAGCATCCCAATAAAAAAGCGTATTTCATTTTTGAAAGACCCTCTGATCTAGATCTCAGGATTTTTTGGTACAAATGTGATTAGAATGCAGTTTTACAACAGAAATGACTGTCCTGTTTTGGTGAAGGCATTTAGACAATGACTCTTTTAAATGATACTGTCGAGGAAGAGAGTACTTGGCAAGAACAAACTTAGCACCAATCCTAAAGATAATTCTCGCACTTCAGGGGACGAAAGCTGCGAAACCCACGAAGCCAGCAGCCTCAGATCTTCCTGTGCCTGCTGAGGGTGTCCGCAGTATCAAGAGCATGTGGGAGAAAGGGAATGTGTTTTCATCCCCCACCGCGGCGGGCGCGCCCAACAAGGTGAGCTCCGGAGTTCCGTCTTTTAATTTGGGAGGGTGGGTTTCTTTTCCTTTTCTTTTTTCTTTTTAGCAAACCACGTTAGCTCATTATAAAGCAGCGGAGAAGGTGTAATTCTTACTTTCTTTTGCAACAACCATAAAAGCAAGTGCACAGATGCTAGACAGTGTGTACTCCTAGCTCTGGCCACTCTCCTAAATTGAGTTCTTGAAATTAATCATCAACCTTGGGGTTGGGTTGGGGTGAGGTGCGGGGGCAAGCAAACCAGATAACATTCTTTAAATATCAACTTTAAGGTTCATTTTACTCAAAATATTGATTAGCCGAAACCGGTTTGGCTCAGTGGATAGAGCATCGGCCTGCGGACTGAAAGGTCCCAGGTTCGATTCCGGTCAAGGGCATGTACCTGGGTTGCAGGCACATCCCCAGTAGGAGATGTGCAGGAGGCAGCTGGTCGATGTTTCTCTCTCATCGATGTTTCTAACTCTCTATCTCTCTCCCTTCCTCTCTGTAAAAAATCAATAAAATATATTTTTTAAAAAAAATATTGATTATAACGAGCCATCATTCATTGTTCGGGATGGTGACATGAAATAACAAGCAATAGTATTATTTGAGGTTTCTTTGAAGATTTCTTTCCAGGTAAAGTTTGTCTTTGTCTTTAATATTGGATGGTTGACTCCTTGCAGGAAACTGCTGGCTTGAAGGTGGGGGTTTCCAGCCGCATCAATGAATGGCTAACTAAAACCCCAGACGGGAACAGATCACCTGCTCCCAAACCTTCGGTAAGTAGCTCCGGGTTTTCTGGATTTCCTTGATCTCTCAGCTCCCAGCAGCAGGAGAAACCAGGCTGTTGGTCTGTTTGCCTGAGAAAGGCAGTGCTCCTGTTCTCTGCTGCCCATGCTGAGTAACAAACAAGGAGGGGGTTCAGATTTAGAGAGAACAGCCCCAAGCAGCTGCCCCACAATCGCCCACAGGCCGTAATTAACCAGAATGCTGAGGCCGCTCAAATTTACACTCTTTACTGGTCTGTGTGTTTAGCTCCTATTCTATAAATTACAGCTGGGAATTTGAAAATGAAAATGTCAAATTATCTTGGCCACTTCTCTGTGGAAAGCACCTCTAAACTTATTCCCCAAAGGAAGTGTATGTTGGCTATTTTGAACCCATGGGTTTCTAATTTGCCTAATTTATGTAACTTAATACAAGAAAATACCATTTTTAGGTAGTTGTTGAAGTAATTGCCATAATTTTTTTTTTTTGTCAACACCTCCAAAGAAAAGCCATTTTGAAAAACACAGTAAAACTGGAAACTATAAGAGCTTGTTATTTGTGGAAATCTAAATTTTACTTATTTATTAAGTGTGACTATTTTACTATAAAAATATTCTTTTAACCTTTTCATTGAATGTATACGATAATTGCCTTGCATTTATCATTATGATAAAGAGCCTTATTAAGCTCCTACTGTACATTGGTGAGCTTTCTCTATTAAGTTGGCTTTTATATATGCCTCGGGGCCCAAAGGAGCAGAGACTCAACTGTCCTAACTATCCCATCGCAGCTGTAGAGTAACGCTTTCCAAATCCTAGACCTCTGTGCCACTGAGCACACTCACATACGACACAGCCATTTCATTGTATCCAGTGGCTCCATATTTAAGCTCCAAAGTCACTAGAGGTTATCAATTCCAATTAAAGAAGAAAAAAATGGAAATATTGTCTACACTTCTTGAGTGCAACCCCGTATAGTCACCTAATTAATAGTCAGGATTTTTTGCATAAGGGCTCACATGAGGTATAAAACTAATGTAAACCCAATTTACAATGAGAAAGTCTTTATATATTGAAAAATATATATTTTCCCCTCTCCCGGTAAATAGAGGGGAGGGAAGCTATAGAAGGAGAGAGTCGAGGAGGGAGGGGTCACACCTGCAAGGTGTTTGCTCTTTATTGCCCCCAACCCAAGGTGACATATAGAGTAGGAGTTATTTTTTATGGAAACTTATGTAAATTTTGTGGCCCCAGACCAGTGATTATTAACCTTTTTGAATTATGGAGCCTTTTGAAAACCTATGAATCAGAGGGCCTTCTCCCCTAATACATGTATATCACTTGAGTTCCGGAAGTTCATGGACCCACTGAAGAACTCTCAAAATAGCAACGAGAAAGAGAGGAAGGTGTGTCTTCCTCGTTGATGAATTTGGCACATTGCTAGAGAACCTGGTCACTTTTTTGTGTTTATTTTATTTGTGACATATTTCATTTCTGTACCGGATTTTACCAAGCCTATCACCATCTATGTCATCCTAATGGGAGAGTTAAAAAAAAATTCAATTCAGTTATAATGTCAAGGCTTCCACAAAAAGCCCCATTCCCTGGTAACTGATAGTCTTACAGAAGACTGGAGAACAAAAACAAGCAACACTTAGAGAAAGGGGAGTTACATTTTAATTATGCGCAGGCCCAGAGAAAAATGTGTCTTTCAAATTCTGGGGCCCCCAACATGGAGGAAACTCTCTCTATTTATATTTTTTCCAGTCCTTTGTCTCCCAAATTTGGAAGGAGACTTCCGGGCCTTCTGAGAAAGAAGGCCTGTGTGCTAGGAAGGGGCCATGAGACCGTATCTCAAGGCCTGGCCTAGAGCCAGCACTGACAACTCTGTCTGGGGCATAGTTGACGGCCTCTCTGGAATGGGAGTCATCTTATTTTCCCTATTATTTATTCAGGCAAGTGTTTACAGAAGCCAAAATAGCAGGGTTAAAATTTCAAACAGCAGTTTTTATATAAGATGGTTGCTTCAATAGCATCATAAAAACGACAGGACAAAAAGTTGTGACAGGGAAATTACAAAAGCATTGCCTGCCTTACCTACTAGTTAGTGAGTCGCTAGACCCTCTCCGAGAGGACAGAAGGCAAAGGAAAGAAGAGTGGCGACTCACACAGCTTGTAGTGATCTCTTCCTATGACCCCCTGGATTTTGCAGACGAGGGCAACCTCCTGAGTGAAAGCCAGATTGGAAGAGAGCAGTAGGTAGTTGCTGTTGTACATGAAAAGCCAGTGTGAGTAGACTTAACCAGCAACGTTCAGCTTGGTGCCCAGTTCATGGGTGACAGAGCCAGCTCTTGTCAAGATCTGAATAGCAGCATGGCAGTCTCTCTGGGAAAGATGTGACCTGGACCCAGGAAGGCAGGACGGTAACTCGCAGACACTATGGATCCAGCAGAACAAGATGACATTTCTGAGCTGCAGAAAGGCCTAGAAGGGTCCTACAGATGCATAAAACTTGGCTGGCCAAAGGTTAAGTCCAGCAATGCAACTTAAAAAGCCAGGTCAAATTAATTAATTAATTAATTTAATTTAATTTAATTAAAAGGCAGGTCCAAAAATAAATAAATAAATAAATAAATAAATAAATAAATAAATAAATAGGCAGGTCAAGCGAAGATCTTGCCTGGGTCTTATCAGGGGCCTCACAGGAGTGGCCCGAAGCTAAGATTTGTGTAGTTTGACCCACACCATTGTGCTTTATTTTCCTTTTAAAAATTGTAATTTGAACACATTTTTGAAGTGTGGAAGCATGTACGCCAGAATTTGTTGATTCCCTCTTTTCCTTATTTGTTTACAACAAGCCTTTTCAGGCCTTTGAGTTTCCAGCCTGGCCCTTCATGGCAGGCCTCTGAGTTTGACACCTTTGGGTCCCCAGCCATACTGACTCTGAGCTCTGAGCCCAGGATGTTAGAGTTACCTTAAGACAATGGCAACAGTAGGCCCCCGAAGGTGCCATCCAAGTCTGGACCCGAGGGGATTTATTCCCTGTCCCTTGCTTAGATTCCTTGGTGTATGTGGCTGGAGAGGAAAGCCTGGGCTTGTGTTTGCAGATGTGTGGCATGCGGCCATTGAAGAAAAACAGGGAGATTCTTTCACCGAAATGGTCCTCACCCAGTGAAACCTCAAGAGGAAGGAAATTAGTGTTTCCTTTGAGATGAGTGTTTAGTTCCAAAACTCATTGGACAGAACAACCATCCTTTACCAAGTTGTATAATTTCCAAACACGCTAGGAAGTAAACGTGCTCAAAATAGTTTGTCAAACCAATATTATTTGGAGGGGGTCCCTGAAAATTAACTTATTTAAGAACAAACATTGATCCGCATCTGATCCCTTCCTGAGACATCGCTTTGCTATTTGTGAGCAGAATTTACGGGATTTCGGTGTAATTTTGTAACCAGAATTCAATTCTGAGTATGCCTGTTCTAGCTGGTTTGTCTGTTCTTTGTTGTCTAAACTACATGTTACATGCAGCTAAATTAAAATGCTAATTTGTCTTTCTTTTTGTTTAAAAAACAACCACCATGTCTTTCTCAGCTGAATTCTCTTCTTCATTCTTTGATCTCTGGGTGGCTGGAAACCTGCCTCTCCTGCCTTCATTTCTCCCTCTTCTCCCGGACTGGGTCTTTGTCTAAAATGTAGTCTGGTCAGGTAATTGCGTTTCTATTTTCCCCTTTGATTTAAAATGCCAACTCACCACTTGGATGTTCATATTTTCTTAAAATAGGCTCTTTAATTGATCTAAAAAGATTCATAGGGAAGATTGAAGGGAAATACAGTCCGTTTTCTTCTGTAGAACATTCATGTGAAAGAAAAATATTTGTCTTCTATGAATCAAATAAATAAAGTAATAATAGCCACTTTCCAGAGCTTCCATCAGCATGTGCCTAATTATAGTTTCCAAAACTTTAAAACAGTCTTCCAGACAATTTGGCAGCTTCTCCCTACTTTGGCAAAAGTAGTGGAACCCTTCAAAAACAGCCTGATTTGTTGCTTACTGGTTCCAAGTTAAATAGGTGTAGCTCTCTAATAGGCTATCAGGAATTCCTGCCACAGTGGAACTCCAGAAACTCAGTAGGATTAAGGCAAATCTGAAATGCCAAAAAAAAATAAATTAATTAAAATAAAAAATCTGCAATGCTTCACATGGTACCATTTAACCAGGGCACTTTCAGTGTTGAGCCCTCCCTACTGTCCGTCAAAGCATGCCCCTTTAGACTGGTGTCCATGGATAGATGCAATTGCTGTTCGCTTTGCCTTCCTAACGAGAAAAGGATGTGCCAAAATAAACGTGACTATTTCAGTTAAAACACATTTATATTCTACAAACTACCTTTTGCCAAGCACATGCTGGAAGAAAAGTAAATGGAAACAGAAATGTGACTCCTTGTCCAAACCAAATTAATTTTGAGGTAGCAAATAAAGAATCAAAGCTATGTAACTGTTCTCTCCCCGAGATTTCCACATGTTCTCACAGATGTTATTGTCAGTTTCTCTTACGGGTGCAATTTGTGGTCAGTGTTTACGCTGATGGGGCTAGGTTCTACCGATGCACTTCTGAGTTATCCACTCACTCTGCAGGAAACACAAAATGACTTCAGCCTGAGGGAAGTGCCATTAGAAGTTTGATGCAGATTTCCTACTGCATAGAGGTGTGGGGAGGAGGGGTGGGCGCCCCTAACCACCACGTTGTTCAAGAGTCAATTGTATTTAAAACCAGCCTATACTGTATTCACTTCTAAGAGCACAGAAAGTTAAAAATAGGCTATATTATTTTAAATATGCTTGTGTTCCAATTTGACTGTTCCATAAGCAATAAGTCCTTGATGAAGAACAGGCCCTAAAGGCTGGATAGTTCCAGCCCATTCTCATGTCATAACCTGGTCCAGGTCTATTATAAAAACAATGGTTCATGGTCCTTTCAATGCCATCCATTTCTGATCGCTAGGGTAAAGTGTATTAACAAGAAATCGATTCAAACCAACAAACACAGATGTGGTGACTTATTTAGACCTGGCAGAAAATCTATAGGGTCACATATTAATTTTATTCTGCTTTCTCTTCATTAGGATTTGAGGCCAGGAGACGTATCTGGCAAGCGGAACCTCTGGGAAAAGCAATCCGTGGATAAGGTCACAACCCCTGCCAAGGTAATGTCAGTCTAAATGTTTCTATAGTCCCCTTTTGGAGAAGAAAATGTCAGCTGCCCATTGTCCATTGTCATAGGTATAATGTCCATCATCATAGGTAACATTCCCCTGAACCAGGGTTCCGGGACGTGGAGTAAAGATATGATCTGGAATGGTAGGACCCAGAGACTGCCACTCACATACGACACAGCAGGAATGGTGGCTCTCCCTGGAATTGTGCAGCATGGTGGCACAAGGTGGGAGGAGGTCAGGGTGAGTCTTCACAGGCTCTGCCCCCTCCTTGATCTAGCCCACAAACTACAGTAATCCTATATAATAAAAGGGTAATATGCAAATTTTCCCTAACAGCAGAAAGACTGGGAATGACTGGTCACTATGACACACACTGACCACCAGGGGGCAGATGCTTAATGCAGGAGCTGCCCCCTGGTGGTCAGTGAGCTCCCACAGGGGGAGCTCTGCTCAGCCACAAGCCAGGCTGACGGCTGCCAGCACAGCGGTGGTGGCATCGCTAAGGATGTCCGACTGCAGCTTAGGCCTGCTCCCCGCTGGCAAGTGGACATCTCCCGAGGGCTCCTGGGCTGCCAGAGTGATGTCTTACTGCCAGCTTAGACCCAATCCCCCAGGGAGCAGGCCTAAGCCAGCAGGTGGACATCCCCTTAGGGGTCCCAGACTGCGAGAGGGTACAGGGTGGGCTGAGGGACCCCCCAAGTGCACAAATTTTTGTGCACCGGGCCTCTAGTAATTCTATAACCACCAGGCCCACAGCTGAGGTTATGAGGTAGCAGAGTAGGTAGCTCCTTTGTTCCAAAATGTCAGACTCACTACACGTCATGTAGTGATTCATGTGAAATGAAAACACACACAACACATGTGAACGTGCAGATTCATAATACCACACTCGGCCTTCGGTGTCCTCAGGTTCCGCATCCGCGGATTCAACCAACCACAGATTCAACCAACCCCGGATCAAAAATATTTGAAAAAAACTACATTGTTGCTAATGTGTACTATGCAGTTAGGCCTATGATGGTCGCTTCTGTTTTGAACATGTACAGACTTTTTTCTTATCATTATACCCTGAATAATACAGTATAACAACTATTTATATAGCATTTACATTGTGCTGGTTACCATAAGTAATCGAGAGATGATCGAAAGTATACGGCTTATACGCAAATAATATGTCATTTTCTATAAAACACTTGAGTGTCCACAGATTTTGGTGTCCACGGAGGCCTGGGACCAATCCCTCTAGGATACTGGGGGACAACTGTATATTTAATATTTGTGAGCACCTCAGCAAGGATTTTTAGCAGCTAGCTGGGGAAAAGAAACGATATACAAATGACAGATAAGTTTCAAGGGTAGGGATAGAGAAGTACAGGGGGGAGGAAATAAAGGACAGGAAAAAACTAAAGGTAAGCATAGTCCACTTCACCCTCCTGCCTTGTCGTGGCCAAGACTGTCATTCCATCATGTGTGCCTGTTCTGGATGCACACTATAGATTCCTGGCCCTTAGGGTGGTGTTAAAAATAAAACTGCCGCCCTAACTGGTTTGGCTCAGTGGATAGAGCGTCGGACTGCAGACTCAAGGGGTCCCAGGTTCGATTCCAGTCAAGGGCATGTACCTTGGTTGCGGGCATATCCCCAGTAGGGGGTGTGCAGGAGGCAGCTGACCAATGTTTCTCTCTCATCGATGTTTCTAACTCTCTGTCTCTCTCCCTTCCTCTCTGTAAAAAATCAATAAAATATATTAAAAAAAAAAAAAACCTGCCTCCGAATGCCCTGAGCAAGGCTAAAGATCAAGATAGAGAAAAGGTAATACAAAGAAGAAAGTGAGGAAGGAAGGGAAAAAGGGAAAAGGGAAGGGAAGGGAAAGGGAGGCAAGAGGGGAAGGGAGGGGAGGGGAGGGAGAAAAAAATCAACAGGAGAAAGACCAAGAGGAGCATATTTGAATAGAATGCCAACAATAATCCTCCCTTTCATGAATATTTATTCCTGCCATATTATAATTCCTTTTTTCTTTTTCTTCTGACATAAACATCTGGCTGAAACACTGTGGCCTGCCGATTTAAAGCTCTCTTCTCTTAACAGGTGTGAGACAGTTCAAGAAAGAAGCCAGAGTAGCCACTCAAGATGCTGGACCAGCTCAGCCGAAGAGGGCTATGTGCTCTGTTCTATATTTATGTTGATTTACTAAATTGGGTTAATTTCCTTTTGTTTTATTTTTCATTATCCCAGTAAACCCATGTATATTATCACTATATTTAATAATCACAGTCTAGAGAAGTTCATGGTAAAAGTACTGCCTTTGCACAGGAGCCTGTTTCTAAAGAAACCCATGCTGTGAAATAGAGACTTTCTACTGATCATCCTGACTCTGAACGGTGACACCAACCACGTCGGAAGTCGAGCAGGAGGAGGTTCAAGCTGAAAATTTGCCTGAGGAATGTGTGCAGTGTCCAGAAAAACAAACCATAGTGGGGTTTGGGGTTTTTTTTGTTTTTTGTTTTACATACAGAAGTCATGTTGTTTCTGCACTTTAGAATAAAGCATGGAAGAAATGATCTCAGTAGGCAATTGTAACACTTTCTGAAAGTAACGCATTTCAGATTTGAGATTCTGCAATGATGATTGTCTTTTTTAAAAAACGTACTGTTAAGGTATTACTTTTTTCATGCTGATGATTATCTAAATTGGATGATGATGTTAGAAGACAGTGGTACTGATTTCTTTAGGTTGGTTGCTTTGTGGATTTCTTTGGTAGTGATAGTGAACCACATTTTAGATGACCTGATCATGTATGTATGTGCATACACGTATACAAACACACTAATGGTAGAAAGCTTCTTTTATGTGCTAGACTATTATATTTAGCAGTATGTCCTTGTAACTAGCCAATATCACAGCTTTTCAAAAATTAAAAATCACATTATATTAATATTCATATTTGCCAATAGAGACATGGCAGAATAGGTATCAATATATCTTCAATGCCCAATAGATAAACTGTAAGAAAAAAAAGAGAGATTCGAAATGTCAAAATGAATTGACATTTTCTATAAAGCATAGTATTTAGCTTATACTGAAAAGCAATCTTGAAGTCCAATGTGAATTTTACTACCATCTGGATCAAACTCAAAGCTTGCTGAGAACTTTATTTTGTTAGCAATCAACTTCACAATCGGTTGGCTTCGAGGATATCTGAGGTCTCTTCTTTGTCTAAAATTTAAAGACGAGGATTTTAGTGACAAGATTGTCCAGATTAAAATTCCACGTGTGGGTATGCAAAGATCAGCTTTGGCTAATGTCTGGAAGCAGAGAAGAGAAGTAAGCAAATTCCAATATTTAAGAGTCATGATAGTCCTTCATCTTTATTATACGAAACCATTTTTTAAATTAAAAGTTTCTACTTTTATTAGTCATTGGTACTTGTCATAAGTTGATAATGTATTGAACTTTCAGAAAATATATGTAACTTTTAGTAGTTTTACTATTTTCCCCAAGAGTCTTTATCAAATCATCCTTTCTATACACGTAATCTAGACATCAGATCTTACTTTAGCTTATAAGTGTTCATCTATTCTTCACAATAGATGATAAAAGAGTACTCCTCTGTCTTGGCAATATGTTTTAGCATAGAGATATATAGGATAGTTCTATAAACTTATACCTCATTTGACTTAACCAAAAGTGTCCTACTCTCAATTTCTACCACAATGAGGGAGCCTCCCAAATGACTATTTTCTAACCTACAGTATTTCCCTGGAGGAGCCAGCCAGGGCAGGGCTGACATGAGCAGTGACGACTGCCTTGCAGAGTCTGTTTTTCTCAAAAATCAGTAAAGAGTAGCTGAATTCTCTAGCTTTTAGCACACCTGGGCCAAAGGAAGGAAAACCACCAAGATCACACACGTCATCCACCCGTGACAGAATAGATATGAGTCTATGATAAGATAACCTAGAACCCACATGTAGTGCCTCATTTAGCATTGACTCCCATCACTGGAGTGAAATGGATCGAAGTTTGAATTAAGGCCCATGGCGATATAACATTGCTTTGTTGTACTTTTGAACAAGAGCTTCTCCTGATCACTAGTATATATATTTGTTTCTAGAAAGTCTAAAGTTGAGAAGAGAATATATCGATCCTGACTTTTATTCCGATATTTGGATGGAATAAGTTTTAGGGTAGAATTTTGTTCAGTTTGGATTTAATCTTTTGAAAAAACTAAATTCCATTGTTTACTTGTCTGATTACGATTCTCTGTGTTATCTTTAAGAGGTAAAACTGCAAGGTGACTAGCATGTTCTGTGAATCTGCCATTCCTAAAAATTTTATAAACACTTGATGTTTTTCACTGATAACTGATCGCTGCAATAAGTATATATTGTGAAAATGCATCCACAATAAATGGAATTCCTCCAAATGCCATTGCCTCACTTGTTTTTTTTTTATGTGCTATATTGGTTATAGGAGTTATATTGGTTGTAATAAAGATGACCGCAGAGCAAAATGTATTCTTCAGGTTGAACCTTGGTTTCGCCCTTTAAAGAAGAAAAGCCATTTCATATTTTGTAAAAACTTATTATGGGCATTTTTCTAACAACTCACCAAATATGTATGGGAAAGGTTGAAAAGAGAGATTTTAAAAATTCTTCTTTAAAAGAAATTATCAAATGTTCCTCCATCCTCCTTGTCAATCCCAGTATTGTCACACACCACCTTTCTTGCTCCGAAGATAGCAGTACTGTTTCCCCAAAAGCAGTTTCTTTTATAGTAGAAATACCCTTTAAATACATGCCCTTTGTTTGCAGAATATTACTATTAGCAAGACAATGGCAATTACATTTAAATCCAAAGGTGTTTCTACCTAGTAATTTTGCATATTTATATAGCACTACTTGGTCTGAAATCTGAGGCTTTTCTCATAAAGGTTTTAAATGGTGAGTCCAGAGCTCCTGAGCAGTCCCTAAATCCTGTCCATTAGAGTGACAGAATTAACTAAGTTACTGTAACTTAAAAAATATTTAGCACTTTTTTACTTCTATGTCCTAACAACCCAGGTGATGGAAATAAGTTTAGACAATAAGATAGTTGTCATCAAAGTTCATTCACAAAATTAAGCAACGCAAAGAATACAATCTGTAATACTAATACCAAGATGATGGAAATAGATGGATTAAAATTAATTTTACAATGTGCATATTCAGAGTATAATATAGTCTCTTGTGTGATGTAGAAACAGGTGTATTGGAGGCTTTTTCATATCTTTGCTTGCATGGAAGAATGGATAGGAAAAAAAGATCTCATGACCCTAAATATGTATTCTTCCACAAAAGAAAGATGACTGAATCAGATCTTAATTTGAATGATGTGTCTATTTGTGTCAAGCTTCTTATTCATGTCCAAACATTCTATATTCTTACTGATTTTTTTTTTTTGTTCCTTTGGTCTATTACTGAGAAAAAATATAAAAATATCCCATTATGATTATGGATTTACCTATTTCTCCTTATAATTTTGTTAATATTGTTTTCCATATTTTAAGATCATGTTTTAGGTACATATACAAATCTAGGATTATTATACATATATTCCTAGTGAATAAAATATTTTATCCTTGTGAAATGAATTTATGGTTAGCAAAGATTTCTGCCTCTTTATTTTTCCTATTCTTAATATTGCTACAGTGGCTTTCTTTTGGTTAGCACTTGCACAATATAACTTTTCCACCCCTTTACTTTCAACCATTGAATATCCTTTAGTTTCAGATGTATGTCTTTGAAAATTATATGGTTTGAGTTTGGGTTTTAATCCAGTCTGATCATCTTTGAGCTTTAACTGGAGTATTTAGCCCTTTTATATTTAATGTAATTACTGATATTTTTGCATTTAAATAGCATCCTAGTTATGTGCCATCTGTTGCTTTCTCTCTCTTGCCTTTGTGCCTGGATTTCTTCTGCTTCCAAGCGTGTGCTGATCTACAAGAGTCAGCTGAAACTGGGCTAGACTTTTGGCAACCCGATGGGGCTAGAGGGCAAAAGAATCATCATCTGTCAAGGATGAGGGTTTGTTAAACTAATTCCAGATTATGAGTTTCCAAAGAGCTGCTCCTGAATGTAAGGATGAGCTTGAAGGAATCTGGTCTTCATAAAGATTGCTGCCTGCCTTCACTCTGGGGAACAATTACAGTACTCTAGTGGGGAAGTAAATTATACATAACAGACATAAAAAGTTACGAAATATTGAGTAACAATTCAAGAATTTAAGAGATAAAATATCACAATGTTAGTACATAATTTTCAAAGAATTATGTAATACATAATTCAGTGTTTAGAGGAAGGAGAGAATACTTTAACCTGGGATAATCAGATAAAAAAAGTAGTTGCCTTAATTCTTTTGTGCCCTCAGATGTATATCCAGTGCTCTACACACAGAGGTGTTTGTTAAGTGCTAAGATGATGTTTTCCAAAGCACCTCAATTTATAAACTGCTAGATGTACTGCTACCAATTTTTATACTGTTCTTAGAGATCTGAGGGTTAATTTGTTTTTCGACATTTTTATTCTCAGATTTATAATTCTTGTATCCACTCAGCCCTGCATCTCAGCTCCATAAAGAATGTTGGCCTCTCACTTTAATACAGATTTCACAGCAGAATTTTGCCAAAGCATGCTCTTAGTGATGTCAGCTTTTGTTATCTTGAAGTTGTTCCCCAAAAAAGTTTCATTAAATTGGGTTTTAGAAGTCCCAACTGATCATTTCTACCAAGATAAAAAAAAAATACTTTTATAAAATAATCTCTTACTGAAGGTACTAATATAAAAATTATGTAAAAGAGCTACAATCATATAGAGCACAAGATTAGTTCCTTAGCTGGTTTTCAACCTGATCAATGGTGGCACCATAGTTATGCAGGGATCAGTGCAGCAAACGTAAGTAGATGCCCACGTACTAGAGGGTGTCATTGTCATCAATTTGGAGGTCAGCTAGTCAATGGTAATGACAGCTAACATTAATTGGGTCCTTACAAAGTCCCAGGCGTATGTTATTCACTCATGCGATCCTTACGTGATAGATACTACTGTGTTATTCCCACTTTACATGTAAATAAATGGAAGCACCAAGAAGTTAAAAAGGTTGCTCAAGGTTATATAGCTACTAGAGGCCTGGTGCATGAAATATGTGCACTTGGGGGGGTCCCTCAGCCTGGCCTGCACCCTCTCACAGTCCTGGAGCCCTCGGGGGATGTCCGATTGACGGCTTAGGCCTGCTGCCCGGGAGCGGGCCTAAGCCGGCAGTGGGACATCCTTAGTGCTGCTGTAAAGGCAGGAGAGGCTCCTGCCACTGCTGCTAGGGCAGTCGTTCTGCCATTCAGTCAATTTGCATATTAGCCTTTTATTATATAGAATTAAGTGGCAGAATATTTGACCCCAGGTAATTGGTTCCTGAGCCCACACTCCTAACCTCTGGTCCCCACAATCTCTCACAAGAGATTGTTATTGTGTAGGAGCATGCCTAGAAGAAAGCCCCTTGTTGGGCAGGTTGGAGCCAACACTCTCCTCATGAAGCCCACAGACACGGAGCAAGAACAGCACTCGAGACCAATACTGTAGACTTCAACTCGGCCCTTTTCCTCTCCAGCCCCTGCTCATCCTAAGACAACAGGAACTGGTACCTACAAAAAAGAGGAGATAGGTGTAAATAGCAAAACACCAATTCCCTCCCACTTCCCAAACCACCAGAGCTGGGGACACATCTAGGTTGCCTGAGGGGTGAGGAGAAAGAGGGAGGTTGATTGACTTTGAAATTGAAGTTTAAAATGTACTTAATACCAAATCACTGAATGAAATCTTAAGTGCCAAAATGAAACTTTTAGTAGCTGAAAAGTTATGGAATCTTACCATGTCCTCTGTAAAAAAAAAAAAAGGGGGGGGGGGGACTTCACCATTGCAGTTCTGGGACAGTTATTGGGGGAGGAGGGAGAGACCATGTTTTTTGTCATGAGACTTCGCACTGACCCTGGGAACTATACTTTCTCCTTTGAGGTGATTTATTCCATCCATTTTTTTGTAGAGTAGGCAGGGGGCATTGTTACTATCCCATTTCCAAGTGTTTAGGAGAATGATGCCTCCCTGTGGTCCCCAAATTTAGACATATTCTACAAACTAATTCTACCAATGATAGAGGGATTAGGAAAGACTTCACTGTGGGGATGAGCCTTGAACTGAGTCTTGGTTAGTTGACTAGCTGGGACAGATTTCTCAATTTGAGCTTGGAAACATTTTGAGAGGTTTGGCCTTATACTAGGCCATCCTAGACCCAGATAGTCTGAGGAAGGCCAAAATGGGTAATAGATGGGGGACCCCAGGGTTCCCAGGACCTAGTACAGTGATGGCGAACCTATGACACGCGTGTCAGAGGTGACACGCAAACTCATTTTTTGGTTGATTTTTCTTTGTTAAATGGCATTTAAATATATAAAATAAATATCAAAAATATAAGTCTTTGTTTTACTATGGTTGCAAATATCAAAAAATTTCTATATGTGACCTGGCACCAGAGTTAAGTTAGGGTTTTTCAAAATGCTGACACGCCGAGCTCAAAAGGTTCACCATCACTAACCTAGTATGTCTTCCTCAACCAAAATGGGACCAGACCTGTACAGCCACATAGCCACTAACTTCTGTGATGTCATAAATAACTCTGTCCTAGTCACTTCACATTCTCATTTAAGTCTCTGCTCAATTAATTCAAAATAATATAATTACATAAAATATAGTCCTAACTCAACTTACATTTGGCCATGTTGCCAAAGTGAAGTTTCCTCCTGATTCCCACACTAATAATTGTGCCTTTTGGAGTCTTGTTTTGGATTTTCTTTTCCTTCTTTCTTACTCTACTTTTATTATATTTCTTTTATTCTGCAGGCTTGAGTCGATAAATTCACCAAAACTTAGAGGAAACGTTGCTCTAGGGGTGAGCCTGTCCAGTAATCTTCTCTGATAAGATTATGGGGAAGGGAAACAAAAATTTAGACTAACAGAAAGTCCTTGGAAATTCACTCCGGGCCTCACCTCCACTTTAACCTAAATGCAAATAATTCCATCTCTACTATATACTACTATCTGTAATAGGAGAGTAATTTTTTAAAATAAATTTTTATTGATTTCAGAGAGGGAGAGAGAAAACATCCATGATGAGAAAGAATCATTGATCAGCTTCCTCCTGCACGCCCCACACTGGGGATTGAGCCCACAACCCAGGCAAGTGCGCTGACCTAGAACTGAACCGTGACCTGGTTCATAGGTGGACGCTCAACCATTGAGCCATGCCGGCCGGCTGGGCAGGAGAGTAAATTTCTTTTTAAATTAAAAAAAAAAGAAGAAGAAGAAGCAGGTGCTTAAGAAAACCATGTTTAATTTATTTGGGGCAGAAAAAATGTCCTAAAGAAATCTCCCTCCTTAAAATGATACTGCCCTAGCTGGTTTGGCTCAGTGGATAGAGTGTCAGCCTGCGGACTAAAGGGTCTTGAGTTTGATTCCAGTCAGGGACACATGCCCAGTTTTTGGGCTTGATCCCCAGTAGGGGGCATGCAGGAGGCAGCCCATCAATGATTCTCTCTCATCATTGATGTTTCTATCTCTCTCTTCCTCTCTGAAATCAATAAAAATACATTAAAAAAAATAAAATGATACTGACTTTAGCCAAGCTTTGACTAAACAGTACTGCCTGGTATAATTCATAACACTGGTCTTCTCTTAGAGCCTTTGTATTTTCTGCTTCCCCTGCCTCCCTAGGTCTTCCCCTAGACATCCACATGGCTCATGCCTTTACTTGCTTCAGGTGTCTGCTCAAATGTCCCCTGGTCAGAGAAGCTTCTCTGCACACCCCATCAGAAGAACTACTCCTGCACCAAGGCCCACCCACTCAGCTCACTCCCCATGCTCAATTTTTCCCTGCTTTATTTCTCTCCATATCAGTTATCATCACCTGGGAGTTTGTTTTCAATCGGTTTGTCTGTCTTCTCCTAATAGAATATAACCTCGTGCAATCACCTTACCCTGGGAACAGTCCCTGACAAGTAGTAGGCATTCAATAAATACTTGTTGAATTAATGTAAGAATTATGATTTTTCAAAGTTTGTTAAATTCCCAAGTATTTTTAGGCACTAAAATATTTTTTCTCTGTAGGATTACTTGAAATATGACCATGTAAGTATTTGGACTAAAAATCATGAGACTTAAGTCCCAGCTCAGCTATTAATTTCTTGTGTAATTTGGTTAGATAATTTCTTGGAGCTTCACCCTTGTACATCTGACATCTTATGGCTCACAACCATGACTCTAAAATCAACAGAAAAATAGATTCCATATAAAAATTATCTGTGCATGTCATTTTTAGTAACATGTATGGCATAAAACAAGGTACAATTATAACTGGTAACTATTTTTCAAGAGAGCTTTATCTAATCTATTTCTTTTTCTGGAAGGTCCAAACTTCTAAATTGCTGACCTCAAAAAAATCCAATTATTTTTCAGAAACTTACAAAATCTAAAGATATGGACCATTTCCATGCTTAAGCCAAAATGCTTCGACCTTTATTCTACTTTCAAACTTGCTATAATCCATTATCTCCATTTCTACAATATTACAAATCTCATGACATATAATAACCCAGGTAGGAACCAAACATCTAAAGACTTTTTTTTCCTAGCCATACTACTTTGAAAACTGTTCCAAATACATTCAATTATCCACCAGAGCTAAAGATCAGGAGAAAATCAAGTTGGGATATACAGGAATCATGTCCAAGCCTGTAATGGGAAGCTCGTATTTAATTAGATGAGGCAATACATGTGAAGTGATATGCATAGTGCCCTGCCAGATAATGTGTTCAATATGTTACCTAACGATTTTTATATTTAAAGAATCTCTGAGCTGATAAGAACCTTGAGAGCTCACCCTAGTGTATCTATGACTCCTCTATCAAGTATTTAATGAGAACATTTTTTCATTTCTGAATCAAATAAAGATCATTAGTCACACAATTGTGCAGAACACAACTCAGTGTGGGGTACAAATAAAGACCAACAAAGCACTAGTCTTGACCAGTAAGCTCTACAACAAGGTTCTCAACCTGTGGGTCGCGACCCCTTTGGGGGTCGAACGACCCTTTCACAGGGGTCGCCTAAGACCACCGGAAAACACATATATAATTACATATTGTTTTTGTGATTAATCACTATGCTTTAATTATGTTCAATTTGTAACAATGAAAATACATCCTGCATATCAGATATTTACATTACGATTCATAACAGTAGCAAAATTACAGTTATGAAGTAGCAACGAAAATAATTTTATGGCTGGGGGTCACCACAACATGAGGAACTGTATTAAAGGGTCTCGGCATTGGGAAGGTTGAGAATCACTGCTCTACAGCCTCCCGGTGGTATAGAACCTAGGAACAAATCACAGTTCCGCCTTCTCCTCTCCTAAATTTCCTGCCAACCCCACCCCACCAACCGCACTACTTTCCACCCATAACGGGATTCCCTCTGCCCCTAGTTCCCATCATCCTTCGGGGTCTCCCTTCCTCTTGGCCCAAATCCCACCCAGGGTCCTTCTCTCGCCAATACTCGCTAGGTAATTCCCCAGGGCTTTCTGAAGTCTCGCGAGGGTGGTCCCGTTGCCCTGGTAACGAGTGGCCTTGCCTCCGGGTGAAGGGCGTGGCTAGAGCCGCTAAACTGGACCGGGATTACATTGGGCTGTTACCCGCGGGGGCGGGGAGGAGGAGCCGACGGAGGCGGGACAGTGACGCGCGGTTCCGAAGGAAAGGAGATCAGCGGCGCGGCGCCCCCTGCGGGAAGCGAGCACACGTGGACACACGCGCCGGGGGAAATGAGCTCCTACCCACACCGCGGCTTCCAGGCGTGAGCGTGAGCGTGAGAGGGCCTCGTTGACCTCCGGAATTGTGCTTCACCGTCCTTTCCCGAGGAAGTCCGTCGTCGAGCCCGCCCGCAGGCCTGGCTGGCTGGCTGGGCGTGGGGGCGCGGGTGTTGCCTCGTCCGCTTCGGCCGTGGAAGAAACGCGCGCGGAGTGCCCATTAGGCAATCAGCGCGGCTCTCCTGAAGCCCAGGTCTTCCCCTGTCGCAGGTGAGCACAATGGCAACTGTGACCCTGCTCAGGGAGTTGGCTGCGTGGGTGTTCTGTTCAAGAAAGAGAGGAGGTGGTGTCGCTGGTTTTATTTGTAGCGCTTCCAACGCTCCGTCCCCCTGGAGGCAGGCTCAGCTCTGGTTTAGATACATTGTTGAGTTAATTACGTGTTCATTTCTTCTTCGCTGTTGGGTCAGCTTACCTGGCTGGGCTCCAGTCAGGCTCATGAGGTTACATGTGCAGAGTAGTGTACCTGGATTTTAACATTTAGCAAGAATCGCATTTAGTAGGAACCACCCAGACAGTAAGACCCTGGCCCTGCCTTACATTGGTTTGCCTCCTATGCTCACGGGAGGAAATAGAATCAGATTTATGCCAATCCAGTTTCCCATATTGGGAATCGTGGTGACCCCGGGGCTGAAACTTCAGTCTCTTCGTGTTGCAGGTCCTAATAAGCAGACTCCTCTGTTGCATCTGTAGTAATTTGCTGTGGAGCTTGGACTTTCTTCTATATGTAGTCTTGTTCCAAAACACACTTTGTGTAGAGCGGAGCTTAAACAAATAGACTGGGAATTGGTAAATTCCTTTGATCTAAAAAACAACAACAACAAAGAATCTTTGACAAGGAACTTGCATTATTTCATTGTCTCAGTAATGGGAGGATAGTTGCATCGCAGGGATAATGGCCGTCGCCAGTACAACCTTCTGATAGCTATTGAGATGTCAGTTAAGACACATACAATTGAATATTAGAACGGAGACAGTATCTACGGAATAGTAGCCAAAATATAAAGAGTCTGTTGTCGGCCTCTGAACTGCTGGTCAATTGAAAATTAAGTAGAAAACAAAATTTATTGCTACATTTCATTGCCTGAATAAGTAACTGTAATTTAAAAGATTTGTGATCTTTTTAATGTCTCAGGATTATTCTGAACTTGCTATTGCTCTCTGGTATTTAATTGTAAATACAGGGTGTAAATGATTTGTCGTGTACCCTATAAATTCTTTTTAAATTATTTACTTGATTTGTCTTTTATTGTGATGTGGTCTCTTTCTCATAGAAATGAAAAATTTCTTCAAATCTTTGAAACTGAAGGTTTATTTAACCGTGTCCTAATAAATTAGTTTTTAAAAGAAACCTGTTGTCACTTAATTAAATACAATAGAATGTATTTTGGATACTCATACAATGTAATAAACACTTTTAATTTAAAAACTGTCAGTAAAGACCTTAGAAATTGTTTTCCATTTACAGCCCACCTACTCAAAAGGAGAAATATCGAGCCCAATACTGAAGAGATGTCAGAAGATTCAGAAGAAGACTATTCAGATAGAACAATCAGTGATGAAGATGAATCAGTATGTTTTCCTCAACTTTATCTTAATTTACTTTGAGATAAAACTTGTGTTATATAGATTCCCAGTAAAAGTATTATAAAACCAATTGAATGTAAGAATCAATTGGATGTTTAAATCACCTGTCATTGAAGTTGGGAAGTAATTTGATTGAAAGCCGAGATATTACTGTGTACAGTATGCCCCATCTAGAAAGAACCTATATTGGTTGTCTTTTTCTGAGAAAAAAGTTTGGATAAGATTCTTCTGACTTTTACTAAAATATGTGTATTAAATCATTATTAGGGGTTTTTATACTCCCTGTCCACTTTCTTATATGTACTGAGTGTACTGTATTCATCATAATATGTATCATATACTGGAACCTTCTATGTTTTAAATCTACTGTGTAGCTCCATAATAGGTTTAGTGTGGCTCTGATGTAACAAAGGCCAGGACATGGAAGAAGAAAAAGGAGGAAAAAACAAAATGCAGTATTTAAAAATATTTTGTCTGGTTCTAGTAATATTTGTGAGATGTTTTCATCACATTTTATTTTTAGTAAAGTATAAATTATCATATATTTAAGTTAAGGTCCCCAAATAAGCTCCCCAAAATGATGTATAACCCTTTAAGTCTATGGCCTTCTGCATTTATGTTCTTTTTAAAAAATATACTCATTAATTTTTAGAGCTAGAGCAAGGGAGAGGGAGAGAGAAAGAGAAGCATCCATGTGAGAGTGGAACATGGATCTGCTCCCTCCTGCACGCCCCCTACAGGAGAATTGATCCTACAACCCAGTCATGTGCCCTGACCTGGAATTGAACCCACATCCTTTTGATGCATGGGATGATGCCCAACGAACTAAGCCACACAGGCCAGGGCTATGTTTCTTTTCTTCTTTTGTTTCTTTTTCTTAATTTAGATCAGCGGTTCCCAACCTGTGGGTCGAGACCCCTTTGGGGGTCGAACGACCCTTTCACCGGGGTCGCCTAAGACCATCGGAAAACACATATATAATTACATATTGTTTTTGTGATTAACCACTATGCTTTAATTATGATCAATTTGTAAAAATGAAATTGGGGGTCACCACAACATGAGGAACTGTATTAAAGGTTCGCGGCATTAGGAAGGTTGAGAACCACTGATTTAGATTGTTTTGCTAAGCTTACCAAGAATCTTTAAACTTTATTTCTTCCCTACAGTTATTAGTAGACCTTACCCTGTGGAAGAAGAGGAATGAAAGGTGAAAACTTTAAGGTTTCAGGATAGTTGAAGTGTGTGCTTTGAGACCAGTAGCTATAATAATCCTTTAATTTTTTCCATTAAAGATTAAACACATACACTTAATTGTTAGTTGTAAAAAATTTCTAGCTTTGTAAGCTGTTGGTTTTTAAAAGAGAAATGTTTTTAAACTCTCTTGTTTTAGGATGAGGATACCTACGTGAAATTTGAAGATCTCCGCCAATGTGCACTTTTAACAGGTTTGAATTTATCCATATATTCTCCCTTCTCTTTATGATAGGATATGAGTGGAGGAAAAGTACTAAGATAAGGAAACTAGAAAAAAGTCAGCTTGGATAATATAGGGAATTATTATTCTGTTAATTGGATAAGGAAAGAAATGTATTCACTTTTGTAAGAATCTTTTGGAGTTAAAACTTTTAAGATTTGTTTTAGATAAACCTGATTTTAATGAAAATGGTCAGTAGTTTATAAAGAACTTAATACAAGAATTTGCCTTGGCATTTCTTTAAATAACCAATTCTTTAAATGCATTTACAGTATAACTGGACTTATAATGGGCACAGTGTTTTGGCACTGCATCTTTAAGTATGCCTATGTAGAGTTTCCTTAAAGTCATTCATTAGCAAATTTACATGTGCATGTGGGCATCTTGATGAATGCTTGATTGTTTAGAATTTATACATTTAGAATTGTGCTTTCAAATACATTAAAATATTTTTTCCAAATATTCATATATCTATCACAGATATTTTGAAATTGAAGATAAGACCTTCATTATTTTTTATTATTGTCTTTTTCACTGCCATCCTAAAACAAATCTTCACTTTTGAGATAACCACTATTCTCAGTTTGGTGTTTACCCTTCTAGAATTTTTTCTTGTATTTGTACACATATCTATACCCATAGTCATAGAAAATGTGTGACTAAGTTTAAGAAGTTTAAGAACATTCAACAGTAAATAGTTTGCTAAAAAAATTGTAGTACTGTTTTGTGGACTTCCTGCCGCCCTTTTTTTTCTTTTTAAAATTTTAAAACGTCTGTTGATAAAAAGGAGGAAATTCACTGTTTTAACTAACATTTCCTTGGTTGCTAAAGAAATTGAGAATTGTTTCATATGCTTGTCTATTTATATTCCCTTGTGTTATGAATCGCTCTTTCATAGAAATCCTTGTTAACTTTGTTTACATTGCTTTCATTGTTTGGAATTATTTTAATGTTATTTATCATTATTCGTTTGTGGCTCTTTTTTTTATGTATCTGTTTAAGCTACAAAGGCCCCTACTCTAAGATCATCAATATAATTATCAAAGTTTTCTTCAAGTACTTTTTTGTACTTGTTTGAATTTTGGTATTTCATTTCTCTAAAATTTACATTTACAAATCATATGAGGTATGAATCTAATTTTATTTACTAATTCATAAATAGTTGCCTTGCCATTTTTGAATCATACTGTAAATTAGACAAAAGTATGATCTACTCACATAATGGAATACTAGATGCTTAATAACTGTCTATTGAATAAATGGATCTATATAACAATCTTGAGAAGTAGCAATGGAAGGTAGTATTTCTTATTTACAAGTAGTAAATAAGATTTATGTTCAAAGAGGCTTCATTGGCCAACCAAAATCATGTAGAAACAAAGTGGTAGAACAGAACTCAGTTTGACTGACTCCTAGTCCAATTATCTGCTGTTATACAAAAATAACCCAGAACTAAATTTAGGTTAAAAGCCATGTTTCAGAGGTGGAAAAGCAAGAGGAGTCAGTGGGACAAATGGAACCAAGTATGTAAAAGGTAGAGAGAAAACCAGGAAGTGTACCATCATAAAAGACAAGGGACATGATCTTAAGGAAAGGTGATTATCAACATCAGGTTGAGGCCCCAGTTACCCAATAGAAACGGAGAGAGAGCCTCCGCGCTGTCTACTTGGGACGACTCCATCTTATTCTGTGTGAATTATGCTCCTGGGGTTGTGTCACACAGTAGCCCTAGAATGAGAACTGAAAAAGTTTTGACTGAAAGTTCACTATAACAACCTTAGAGAACATAGTTCCAGTAGGTGGTGAGAAAATATGGTTGGTGGGTGTACTTAACCTATTAGACAAATAGTTGCCTCAGTGTGATTAAGGTTAAGAAGATTGAACAGTAAACAGTTGGCTAAAAAAGCTGCAAGAAACAAATGCAATCCCTTTCAAAATCTAAAATGTTTTTGGAGTAGCAGTGACAATTTGGTATAATTTATAGTATTTAATAACAACTTTTTTTTTTTTAATATATTTTATTGATGTTTTACAGAGAGGAAGGGAGAGAGATAGAGAGTTAGAAACATCGATCAGCTGCCTCCTGCACATAATGGAATACTAGATGCTGGGGATGTGCCCGCAACCCAGGTACATGCCCTTGACCGGAATCGAACCCGGGACCCTTCAGTCCGCAGGCCGACGCTCTATCCACTGAGCCAAACTGGTTTCGGCATACAACTTTTCTTTAGCTATCGTGAAGATAAGTTATTAAAAAATTTCATTAGTACTTTTATTTTTTAAATGCCATAAATTATAAGATATTTATAATTATATCTACAGATATTCACAAATTAATGGTGTTGAAGGGGAAAAAAAAGAACATATAAAAAAGTTATAGGGATTTGCCCTGGCTGAGTAGCTCAGTTTGTTAGAGCACCATCCTGATACACTAAGGTTCTGGGTTCAATCCCCAGTCAGAGCACAATCAAAAATCAATCGATGAACGCAACAATAAGTGGAACAACAAATCGATGTTACTTTCTCTCCCTCTCCCTCTCCCTCTCCTTTCCTCTTCCTCTTTTCCTCTCTCCCTCTCTCCCTTCTCTCTCTTTCTAGAATCAATTTTGAAAATTATAGCAATTGGAGTTTTGCTTCTTAACACTCATGATTGTGTTTGAATCTTTTTCCAGCTGACTCCATCACTGACCCATTTTTCCCCCGGACTACACAGATACTGTTGGAATACCAGCTAGGGAGATGGGTGCCACGTCTTCGTGAGCCACGAGATTTATATGGTGTCTCTTCTTCTGGTGAACTGAGCCCAACACGGTGGCCGTACCACTGTGAGGTCATTGATGAAAAAGTCCAGCATATTGGTAGGTTCTTAGCAGTTTTGGGGATTTAAACATACTAGTAAATTTACTTTGCCAACCTTAATTTTAATGAGGAAACTCCCAGTATTAGAATAGTCATTCCAACAGAAGTATAACATGAGCCATACAGGGGTAGGAAAAGTAGGTTGTATGGAATATAATACAATCCTATATAATAAAAGGCTAATATGCAAATTGTCCCCCCAGGTGGGAGTTCAACCAACTGGGAGCTCGACCGGTTGCTATGACCGCACTGCAGCTGCCAACTGGCCCGATCTGGGCCCCAATTGGCTCCCCCCAACCCCCAGCCAGCCCCACCCCCGATTGGGCCATCCCACCCCAATTGGGGGGAGGGCCAGCTGGCCAACCACCCGCAGCCCCTCCCACTGGCCAGCCAGCCCCCCAATAGGCCTCGATTGCTGGCCAGGCCTAGGGACTCCACCCATGCACAAATTCATGCACCAGGCCTCTAGTAATTAATAAATAATAAATTGTAAACCTACTTTTGCCACTTATATGTAATTTTTAATTTTCTAGTAGCCACATTTAAAAAGATTAAAAAGAAACAAGTGGAATTGATTTCAAAACTATTTTTTATTTAACCCAAATATATCTTAAATATTTTATGTTCTTTTTTTATATGGAGTCTTTGAAAACTGGTGTGCATTTATACTTACATTTCAATTCAATCCAATTTTTGTTCACATCCTTGCCACACTTATTTTGTTGTTGTATTTTTAAATAGCCATTCTAGCCCTAGCCGGTTTGGCTCAATGGATACAGTGTCAACCTGTGGACCAAAGGGTCCTGGGTTTGATTCCGATCAAGGACACGTACCTGGTTGCAGGCTCCTCCCTGGCCCAGGCCCTGGTCAAGCGTGTGCAGGAGGCAACCAATGGATGTGTTTCTCTCACATCTGATATTTCTGTCTTTCCCTCTCTCTTCCACTCTAAAAAATCAATGGAAAGATATCCTCAGGTGAGGATTAAAAAAATAAAATAAAATAAAATGTTTAATAAATAAATAAATAGCCTAAACATGTGTGAGATATCTCACTGTGGTGCTGATTTACATTTCCCTGAGTATCAGTGACTTTGACAGTGCAATCCCTATCAAAATATCAATGGCATTTTTTCATAGGAATAGAAAAACAACTGTAAAATTTATATGGAACCATAAAAGCCTACAAATAGCCAAATCAGTCTTGAGAAAGAAGAGCAAAGCTGGAGTCATCACACTTCCTGATTTCAAAATATATTACAGAACCACAGTAATCAAAACAGTATGGTACTGATATAAAGACAGACATACAGACCAATCAACAGAATAGAGAGCCCAGAAGTAAATCCACATATATACGTTCAACTGATCTTTGACAAGACTGTCAAGGATACACAATGGAGAAAGGATAGTCTCTTCAACAAATGAGAAAATTTAATATCCACATGCAAAAGATGAAATTGGACCTTTGTCTTACACCATACAAAAAGTCAACTCAAGTGTATTAAAGACTTAAACATAAGACCTGAAACTGTAAAACTCCTACAAGAAAACATAGGGGGAAAGCTTCATGACATTGTTCTTGGCAATGATATCATGGATATGACATCAAAAGCTCGGGTAACAAAAGCAAAACTAAACAAGTGGGACAACAAAAAGCTTCTGCACAGTAAAGGAAAGAATACAGTGAAAAGGCAACCTGTGGATTAGGAAAATTATTTGCAAGCTATATTTCTGATGAGTTAATCTCTCAAATATATAAGGAATTTCTACAACTCAATAACAAACTCAACCAGATTTAAAAGATGGACTAAGGACTTGAATGGATGTCTTTCCAAAGAAGACACAAATAGCCAACAGATACATTTATTGACTTTTTATGTAATCTGATAAAATTCTTTGCCATTTTGTTGTTGAACTTTTTGTTTTCTTGATCTCTAAATGCTCTCTATATATTCATGAGATTAGCTTAATGTTATGTATGTTGCATACTTTTTCTCAGTTTGTCATTTGCCTTTTATCTTTCTCATGCAGAAAATTTTAATTTTTATGTAATCATTTTTCTGTCTTCTGGATTTTGAAAATCTTATGTTTCTCTTAGCACATTTCAAGTTGTATTTTTTGTGATTAAAATATTTTAGCATCAGGAACCATTTGGATGAAAGAAGTGAGCTCCCAATCCAATTCTATTAACTAACCTGTTATTCCAACAAAATTATTAAATAATTTTTTCTCTACTGGTTGGAAATGCCACAATTATATATTCAATTCCTAGGCCTAATTTTGAATTATATTCTATTCCACTAACCTGTCTACTCATGGTGACTCAAAACCTTTAATGCTATATTTTTTAAACTATAAATTTTGTTAGGTGGCAAACTTAGTTCCCCATCGTTCCTTTTATTCTTTTAAAAAGTTTTCCAACTTCTTGGCTTATTATAGTTGGCCTTATTGTGCGTATTTCTATATGAAATTTAAAATAAGCTTTCCTAGTTGTCCCAAAATTAATCCTGGTAACTTTATTGTGATCACATTACATTTATAGATTAAGCAAGAGCGACATCTTTACAATATTGCATCTTCCTAACCAAGAACAAGGTATGTTTCATGATTTACCCTAGTTTTTCTTTATCTTCCTTAGTACAATTTTAAATTTTTTTCTTGCACTTTTTCTAAGTTTTATTGTTAGGTATTTTATCTTGTTGCTTTACATAAAATCTTTATTGCATATTATTTTCTAACTTGTTTTGTAGAGGAAAGTTTTGTGTATTAATTTTGAAACCACCCAACTCTTATTTCTAGTTTTTAAGTTATTGCATATGTGTTTTTATACAATTATATCATCAAGGAAAAATGTAATTAAATCTCCTCGTTTCCAGTTTGTGTATATCATACTTCTTTTTCTTGACTGAATGCATTGACTGGTATTTTCAAAAAACATTTAAAGTTTTATATTCATCTTGTTCCTCATTTTAATGGGAATGCTTTTAGTGTTTTCTCTCTAAGCAAAATATTGGTTCATGGTTTGAATTAAATTTGATTTTATTAAGGAAGTATCCATTTATTCTTTATTACTAAGAAAATTTACCCAGAAATAATTACTAAATTTTATTAAATGCCTTTCAATATTTACAGAGAGAAAGTATCTTAAGTTTCTCATTATGACACATTACAATATATGTATTTTATCCCTCACTGGAGGATGTTTTTATTAATTTTAGAGAGAGAGGAAGGGAGAGGAAAAGGGAGAGGGAGGGAGCAGAGAGAGAGAGAGAGAGAGAGAGAGAGAGAGAGAGGAAGAGAAACATCATTTGGCTGCCTCCCTTATGTGTCCCAACCAGAGATCGAGCCTGTAACCTAGGTATGTTGCCATGTGCCCTGACCATTTCTTTGAGGCATTGGACAATGCTCCAACCAACTGAGCCATCTGGCCATGGAATGAACTGCTATTAGTCATTGTGTATTATTTTGTGTGTTGCTAAAGCCTATTTGCTAATATTTTATATAGGATTTTTGCTTTAATATTCATAAGTAAGAATTTATATTTTTCTAGCTTTTGTACTTTTTTAGGTTTTAGTATAAATATTATTCAAAATTCTTCCTTGTAGAAGAATTTCTCCTCTTCTAGGACAGTTTGAATAATACTGTAATTAACTGTTGGATAGAATTCACCTAAAACAGTCTGGACATATTTGTTATTGTTATTTTAGATATACAGAGAATATTTTTATTGTAAAACTTCTTTGTTAGTTCTGTTTAGATGTTCTATTTCAGGGACAGTTTTGATTATTTGTATTCTCCTAGAAACATAATGCTTCTATGGAGAACTTTTCATTTGTTTACAAAGATTTGGTCAAAGTATTCTTTTGTAATTATTATAATATCCTTTGACTTTGGGGGATTTTTCCCCTCTCTTGTCATATTTTTGTTAAGTATTTATACATTCTTATTTCCCTCTCCCCTGAATATGTTGGTGGGATATAATTATCTTGTTAGTTTTTCCAAAGAATCAATGTTTAAATATATTAGTTCTGTTGTGCTGTTTTCTTTTTTTTTTAATTTTTTTTTTAAATTAAATCTTTATTGTTCAGATTATTACAGTTGTTCCTCTTTTTTCCCCCCATAGCTCCCTTCCACCCAGTTCCCACCCCACCCTCTGCCCTTACCCCCGCCACCCAATGTTCTTATCCATAGGTGTACAATTATTGTCCAGTCTCTTCCAACACCCCCCACACTCCTTTTCCCCCCGAGAATAGTCAGTCCACTCCCTTTCTATGCCCCTGATTCTATTATATTCACCAGTTTATTCTGTTCATCAGATTATTTATTCACTTGATTTTTAGATTCGCTTGTTGATGTGTATTTGTTGTTCATAATTTGTATTTTTACCTTTTTCTTCTTCTTCCTCCTCTTAAAGGATACCTTTCAGCATTTCATATAATACTGGTTTGGTGGTGATGAACTCCTTTAGCTTTTTCTTATCTGTGAAGCTCTTTATCTGACCTTGAATTCTGAATGATAGCTTTGCTGGGTAAAGTAATCTAGGTTGTAGGTTCTTGCTATTCATCACTTTGAATATTTCTTGCCACTCCCTTCTGGCCTGCATAGTTTCTGTTGAGAAATCAGCTGACAGTCGTATGGGTACTCCCTTGTAGGTAACTGACTTTTTTTCTCTTGCTGCTTTTAAGATTCTCTCTTTGTCTTTTGCTCTTGGCATTTTAATTATGATGTGTCTTGGTGTGGTCCTCTTTGGATTCCTTTTGTTTGGGGTTCTCCGCGCTTCTTGGACTAGTAAGTCCATTTCTTTCACCAGGTGGGGGAAGTTTTCTGTCATTATTTCTTCAAATAGGTTTTCAATATCTTGCTCTCTCTCATCTTCTGGCACCCCTATAATTCGGATGTTGGTACGCTTGAAGCTGTCCCAGAGGCTCCTTACACTATCTTCATATTTTTGGATTCTTTTTTCGTTTTGCTTTTCCAGTTGGGTGAGTTTTGCTTCTTCG